CACCGTTTGGTTAGGCTACGACGTGCTTCCCACAGATGGAGTAGGTGGGAGTCTATATCCGGTGCTTCTGGAGTGGTAGTAAGGGTGCGCGTGTATCGGTTTAGCCGGGTTTGCAGTGCTTGCACCCAATCGATGAGTGTGTTGGAGGAGGTATAAGAGCAGGACGATGCGCGAAAGGCAGGCCAGTCTGTGATACGAATGTGGCGTGCTTCTCCTGAGAAGTCTTTAGTGTGGATACGGGTTTCAAGAATCGAATGGTCACTGCCGAGCTGTTCCTCAAGGTTCTGCCAGGTGCAGGGTTTAGTGCCACGGTACATGGTAAGGTCTGGGCACGTGTCTCGTGCAACGCTGGTTCCAAGACGTCTGGGTGTCGATGAATCAGTAAGTAAAGTGAGATTCTGTTGGTGAATCAGAGTATGGAGCTTTCGGCCTTTAGGTGTGTCGCGAGGGTAACCCCAAGTCGGATGTGGAGCGTTAAAATCGCCTCCAATGAATGTGGCGCAACCCTTGCAGCGTGCGGCTTCAAACAACTTGTCAAACCGTGCATGACGATCTTGAGGGAGGCTGTAGACATTGAGTAGACGGAGGGATTGGGTGTTACGCGTGCGTGGATTTGCAGGAAGGAGTTCAAGTAATATATGTGGAACGGCCTGGCTGTCTAAGTCGACGGCGGTATGAACGCGCTTGACTAGGGTTGCCACAAGGTGGTCTTTATCAGGATCATTATGTGCCACATATGTGACATATCCAGGAAGATTGGGAAGGGTACGAGGCTCTTGCAGAAAGATGATGTCGGGTGGGGGAGTGTGCGATTGGATATACTGGATGAGACTGCAGCGTTTTTTTCGGAAACTTCGGCAATTCCACTGCCATACCGTGAGGTCTGAAGAAGACCGTGGTGTGGTGGATGCAGGGGTACTACAGGTCGCCATTTACAAGGATCGAATAAGGGGAAGGGCCAGTTGAAGAAGTGTAAGAATGCTACGGGCCCATTCTGCATCCACAGATTCCAAGAACCTGCAGGCGAAGTTTGCTGCTGCTTGAAGGTTCAAGACCCACCCCTTGCTTGGAGCTGTGTCTGTTGAAACGGACAGAGTCCTCCGTTTTGTTGTTCTGCGCTGTCTTGGATCGGTGGGCGCGCTCCCTGTAGTTTTCGGATCCTCGAGTGGATTTGCTCCGTTTGAACTGGGCCCTTCTTTAGTCAGAGGTGCCTTTGGTTTGTCCTTTCTGGGAAGCTTGATTAGTGTAGCATAGGTCGGTCTCTCAGGCCGTTGGTTTTCAGTTTTGCTAGTCAAGGTGTCTTGCGTTGTTGAAGAAGACCCTTCACTTTTTTTGGGCAATTCGGGCCAGTCGGATGCTTGAACTGCAGCTTTGGCACTATAATAATCGACTGCATGTTCCTTGGCATAATTCCTCGTCTTTTTTTCTTGCTGCCATTTAGTACAGGATGTTGATGTAGCAGAGTGAGCGGCTCCGCAGTTTACGCACTTCTCTTGAGCAGTGCAGGAGTCCCTGTCCTCGTGCGTGTTACCGCAGCGCTTGCACACGGGTCTATGCTTGCAGGAGGCCTCACGGTGTCCGTAGCGGCAGCACTTGCGGCACTGGACAGGTTTCTCTTGGAATGGAGTAACTGGATGCCGAACAAGACCAAGGTAGACGAAGCTTGGCAGCGAAGATCCGCAGAAAGAGATCTTAATTGCCGTACTTTTACCTAGCCGTCGCAAACGTGCAACTCTGTTTTCAGGAGATCTTAAGTTGTTGGTGATCTCCTCGTCAGTCAGCGTAGTGTCCACATCTTTGATTACACCTGTGGCGCAGTGTCTGGGGAGAGGCTCGTATGCTCTGACTTTGATTCCGCAGAGCTCTGTGCAGCGTAGCGATCCTCGTGTTGTCTGTCCGTTTCTCACGTCCACGGCAACGAGATTGAGGCGGCTGTTATACCTGATCTCCAGGATGCATTCCGGGAACGTCTTCGCCAGAGTATTGGAGAGTCTCAGGCTGCTCAGCGACGTAATAACTTGGTCCTGTTCGACTGGCGTAAATATAACAGTAAGTCCTTCAGGTACTACTGCAGTACTGCGGACTGTTTCAGCGCTTGGGCTGGAATTAGGGCTGCTCTTTTTTCGCTTTTTCCTGGCGACATCAGTCCAATCCAAGTCGTCAAAATCGGAGAGTTCTATGTCACTGGATGGCACAATGGCTCGCCGCGAAGAGGTTGTAGCGCATTGCTGACCTGGAGTGATGTCCTCTGCGCTATTCATGGGTGTGTCCTGTTGTGATTCAGCGATTGAGTTGCCACAGACGGACGAAGGCAGACTGTACTGGTCCGTGGAGGCGCGATGACTGGAATGTGGCGAAGGTGGCGTTGGCCCAGTAGACATGGCCATGGTCGATTCACGGGCACCAGGGCAAGCCCCAGTGCGGCAGACCTCACCGTGGACAGGAGTAGGCAACGTTCGAATGAAGTTCGAATGTTTTAGGCCGTCTTATAATATTAAAATGTTGATCCAGAAGAGCGAGGCTCAAAAACGCAACCGACTTCGAATCACTTCTTCTTCGTCTCTTCTTTTACTTTGAAGTTGATTTAAATAATATGTGTTCCTCACGCATATTTATAATGATACATATAGAAGTCTGTTGCTTCTTTTAATTGATGAACAACAATTTTATGTGTCTGTGGGTTGGATGAAAAACAGTACACATTGGCGCGTGGCGGAACTATGACCATTACGCATGCAGACCGTCAGAAAGTGACCAATCAAGTAGCTCTAACGTCAAGTACACTGTGAAATACTACTGAGTTCTATTTAACAAAAACAAAATAGCAAAAGGAATGCTTATTTGCAAATCGAATTGACCAGCATCTTGCCAAGAACAAACCTCAAACGACAACCTATGTCGAAAATGTTCACTTCGGTGCGCGCTATTTTAGGCCAGATCCGATCTGAGTACGAAGGTCACTTTTTTCTGCATGATTATTCTCCTGCATTACGGAGCTGAGTGTAAACAATGTTGGTCAGGAAAGCAAGCGTTTTGCTTGCCACTTAGCGTTTTTATAAAAGGTAGACTGAAATGGTTTGTCCTAAAACTTTCCCGATATTTTGAAAATATTACTGCTTTTAGCTCCAGTTGCATCGTCATCCTATATATTGTGACACGTATTTCATAAACTATATTTCAGGATATATATGGCGAAGACGTGCCCATTTCATGACTGTATGCTCTGTAATGAATTTCTAAGTTCAAGAGCGCAGCAAGAATGGACTTTTAAAACTGCGACCCAAAATTGTACCCATCACGCGCATTTTAGGCGGCCCACCAAATGATAGCCTTTACATTCAAATAAAATATATGCGACTGAGGTAAAAAAAAAAGGTGTTGAGTCATATATGTTGATCTAGCTCTTCATTTACTGTTTCATCGAAATTAAATAACGCAATTTATTTTTGGTACCTGATCATAAAAGTGGATTTTACGAATGATAAAAAAGCTATATAGTTACTCGTTTCACTATTGAAGTATTGCCTATTCCCAAAATAACGCGGAAAATATATTTTCAGTTAAGCGGTTCAAACCGGTTCGAACCGTTATTTTTGTTCCCCGGAACTGAACCGGAGCTGAACCGAAAGCCATGAACCCGAACCATAAAAATTTCGGTTCGACACTCTGCTCCTCGCAATTATAGCAATCCTGTTTTCGGCTCACGAGTCGCTTGTGCCAAAGCAAAATAATAATGCTTTTTAATTGGCGTTATTTCGTGGTTTTTACCGATCCGCATAAAACTAAACACAGCACTGTCATGCTCGACGTTGCACATCCTACATTTTTTTTTTTAAATATCTTTTAAGAAAATACCTTTTATTAAACTTTTATTAATATTTTTTTAATAAAATAACAAAAATGTTAAAATTTTCAAAAGTTTTTATTTAAAAAAAACATTTAAATTAAACAAAACTTTACAAGCCCAACCACATTTTAAGTCGAAAGTCGTGCAAATTTAAGAAAAATATAGCTAGGTGTTTCACTAAAAAGCTGATTTTCATCAATTATTGAGTGATGCCTAGTTTCACGCAGTTTTTAGAAGTTAAAACCGCGCTCACGTCATCAAAAAAATTTTTTCGCCAAAAATATTTTAGGGCATGGCTACAGACACTGCGGCAAAAGGCCATGATTTTTTTTTTATTATTATTGGAAGCGGTTGAGCGCAACGTCTGGGACGTTTGACATGGAATGATCCTAAAGTCATGGTTAAAAAGTATAAACAACCGAGCACTGGCATCTGGGACCTGCAGAGCCGCCAAGTTGTGCTACCCTTTCCTCAAAGCCTCGCGGTCTGTGCTTAAAAAGCACACAAATCCGTTTCTCGCTTGTGCTGAGGAGTTGTATATCAGATTCCGCTAACATGCAGTAAGAATTATGTAGGACAAACGGGCAGATGCCTGAATGATAGTATCCGAGAACACAATCTTAACGTCAACAACTATCGGGATGGCTTCGGATGCAGGCCGTTGTTTGACAAATTGTGCCATTTTTCGGCGGCACTGCGCTTTCGTAAAACTTTTCACGTATTTTCAACGGCAAGTCTCACGGCTTACAGAAGGTTATAAAAAACTTATTGGGCGAGTAACGGCGAACAAAAAGAAAACTTATCTTATAACACGCTACTGCCAGCCACCGCAACGCTCCAAAAACATGGTTCTTTAACGTGCAAGATGGCCGTCCGGCGGCTTCACTCGCGGGAGCTGGAAGCGCGATTTAGCCATTGTCATAGAGATTAGAAGGTGCAAATTTCTGCATGTTTCTAAAGAAACTTTAATAAAGTGGGCTATAAATTATCACCGTTGATTTATAAACTTAACTGTTATTCGCCTTATTCGTCACGAGCCTCAAATATATTTCATTAAGAAATAAATGAAAGCGTTTTGGTTTAGTTTCGTCGGAAACGGCGGGAGCAAGAAAAACAAAAATTCCAGCTGACCACCTTGATCCAAACGAGTTGTCTCTTCCTCTGTGACGGTGTGTACACGTTGTCAAGGTATTTAATCGCTCTCGAATTTCTTGCCGATTTTTCGCGGTTAAACTGTAGCCTAGCTCGCTGTAATCACCTCACATACACAGTTTAATGTGCTGGTCATCGTTCCCACCAGGAGAGCTAAAGTTCAAAACTTCACGCTTTCAACATCAACTCCAATATTCGGTACAGTGAACCCATGCTGTCTCCGAAAGCCGGTAGTTTTGATGCGTTCTGAATCTTTAAAACCAAAATTAATGTCCGATTCCTGTGGGGACGATAAATTAGGGTAGATGTAGAATATAGCAGTCATATGAGCGTTTTCATAAACCTAGATTATGGCGCAGGTTCTTGGTTTATCGTAGTACTGCTCACTCTGGTAGCTTCACTGGCTTCACGTGCTCTTAGGAGAGGATGGTTCCGAGCGCCGCTCAGGCGTAAAACAGATAATGTAGATAATTCAATGCACGGAGCGCGGTTAAACTTTTTACACGGGTATTTTTCGGTAATGCATTGATCACACCCAAATTTCATGAGTAGGTTTGTGTAACCAAATTTAAAAACCGACGTACAGTTTGCGCTTTCTACTTTTGCCCACCCCCTCCTTTGCTATATTTCCTCTTTTTACCTTGCCCCAGTTTGGCTTTCCTCGCAGCAATGTGTTATTCATATGCACAGGGAGCGAAATGGAAACAAACCGTTTGGCTGACGCAGCGACTTGCAGGTGTCACCACGTAGAACAAAAAAAAAAAAAGTAACGCTTCTTATGAGGTGAACACCCAAAAGCAGATCTGGCAGTTCTGAGCGTGTGGGGTACCATTGGTTCAAGCATTTTAGTTCTGTCTTCTGAATTCACTGTCTGTTTTGCTTAACTGGCGAAGTAAGATATTGATGGGACTTAACGAGGTCATGTGATGATAAAAGTGTGGTTTGTATCCTGACCAATCTATTTTGTTTTTGTTTTATTTTAGATGCTTCGATTGCTCCTAAGCCTCTCCTGCCTCTGCCTGTGCCTCGTGCAAGGCGCTGACGAAGAAGTCACAGAAGCTCGCCTGCTCGTACAAAAGCGAATCCTGAACCGGTATCTTGTCGAGGGGCGGGACATCATCGTCGATTACAACATCTACAACGTCGGCGGAAGGTGTGTTGGGTTGTAAAACCAGTGTGCGCCCAGTTGGTTTGAACATGTGTCCAATGAACCAAACAGACATTCCTGCGAGATGATTAGAAGGGCACCTAACGCCAGAAAAATACATCAATTTTTTAGTGCCCAGTGCTAGAATATGGCACTAAGACGCCACCCGATTAACCTCTCCCGTGCAGTTTTGTTAAGAAAAATTTGCAGCATAGTTGTAAACGAATTTCCACCAAAAGCAGATAACCAGCATGGAGAAGTATGACGTCGCCAACTGTGGCGGGAAATTCGGTTGTTTCTTTCCCTGCAACTATACGTTCAAGTTTTCCTTAAAGTACAATACTTTATATATTTCGGCGGCCATACAAGTCATGCTTTATGGGATCTAAAAGACTCCTTTATAAGTGTAAGATTGTATTGCAGTACTCGCATTTCGATTGTCTCTTACTTGGTACTTGCTTGGTACATGACCAGCGCTGCCCTGGACGTGAAGGTCGTGGACAACTCTTTCGGCGAGGGAGACTTTGAGGTTGTCAGCGGCCTTCTCAAGTTCAAGCTCGACAGGCTTCCACCGTATCCTTTCTCTACGTTTGCATGCTCCCTCTTTCCAACGCTCTTTTCATAAGGAAAGAAACTTGGCGGCTGCATGTGTCGGTGATGCACCTTGGTGCACCCAGCCTCTAGTGTCACCTGACCCTTTTCGACTCTTCCTGCTGTACTCGCTGGTTGATTAATCATCACGTTTTTGATGTGAAAGGGGAATGATTTTGGCATTCTAAACTCTCCAAGATGCATATGTCAAGTTGGAGTCCTAGAAAGACGCGAAAAACTCAACATACAAAAATTAGTTGCGCATCTAGGCCGGTCCGGTGTGCCTCCCGAATTTCCATCTCTCCATTTGTTGTCACTTAGTCCAGGAACTAATGCCTGCTTTGAGGCTGAACCCTGCCTTAAAGCAGAACTTTAAAGGGATGCTGAACAGAAATTTGGATTTTGCAAAATAAGGCTGCAGTAGCGTTGGATGGGATGCTACGAACTCCAAAACATCAGTCGTACGTCGATATCTCAAACGGAAGCCATATTTTGGAAAAGAATGGTGCGATCAAGCGAGAACTGTGACGTCACGACTCTTCTGGAACAGTTGGGAATGAGGGGAGGTAGCCTCGCTTCTCTCCTCACTTTAGTTTGCTTGCTCGGGGGATGAAGTGAAAAGGAGGGGGAATGAGAATCGTGACGTTATATGACTCGTCGGACGTGTTCAATTGCGCACTTCTTTCCCAAAAATACGGTCATCCTTTAGAGATATCGCTGTATAAGTGATGTTTTAGGGTTTGGCAGCGTCCTGCCTATCGCCCCAGCCATGTTTGTGAGCTCTAAATTTTGGTTCAGTTTCCCTTTAAAGGGGCACTGACACCCCAAAGGTCATATTTTTTGTTGTTGTCTAAAACGATGCAAACTGTAGTCAGGCACACAAAAAATACTGCAACACAAAAAGAAAAATCCCCCGCGTGCGTGCGCCTTTTTATTTTTGGCACTTTTCTCTTCCTCTTTTCACCTCCTTGCTTCTTTTTTATTTGAGGCATCAAAAATTATGAAATTGGAAGCTTTGTAAGTGACGGTTCTGTAATATTTAATAATGGCATTCTTAAAACATTTTTTAACGCAATTGCAAACACACTGGCCTTTCTTTTTGAAATACCGAAAATCAGTCAGAAAACATGGCGGCACTAGGCACATGTATCAGTGAGGATGATTGGTGAGTCGAGGAATCGGACAAAGTTCTCTTTTTTCTTTTAAGTGCCCGGCGACCTCTCAGATTTCAAAAAGGAAATCGTCAAACGATCAGAGCAACTGTGTTTGGTGTCTGTGTACCATAGTTTCGGTTGCGACTCCGCCGGGGCAGCCTCTTACGGAGAACCGGCGTGACGTGGCCCCTCTTGTCGCTCACAAAAGTTCACTCGTGTTCTCTTCGACCTTGCACCGTTTCAAAGAATTTGAGATCGCTGAAAGGGCCCTGAAAGAACTTTAAGCTCAAAAGTGAAGAGTCGTCTGCTCACAACGAGAGGCGGCAGGCACGGAGGAGAGTGTGATTGCTGGACACGGCCGAGCATGACACTTCGGGTCCGGACAGTTCGGAGGCGCGAGAGAAACTCGTGTTGTAGTGCGACTCAATCATTGACGTTGCTGCACTGGTGTGGACCGCGCGGGAACTTCGAATTCGGCTTAGGGAAATTGTTTTTTTACTTCACAAATACTGAGTCCCCAAGTTTTGAATTTTGAAGGTAATGTCCAAGCATCGTTTTCAATCACTCATATAATAAAAAAAATTTAAAAAAAATCATTGACCTGTTAGCTTCTTTTTAAGGCATGCCTGACTGAGAGGCCAACATGTGGCTACGCTGACCTTTAAGAGGCGCCTTGCCTCGGTAGATAAACAGAGATTGCGCTGTGCATTAAACAAACAAAAAAGGATTAAAAAAAAATTGGCTGGATTTTTGTTTTGTTTTAGAGATTGATTGCAGCAGACGTTTTCCTTGACAGTCGAATGCCTCAGAGGTAGCAATGTCACCCACACCGCTGTCGTCAGGGCTATCAAGTATGGAAGGTTCAACTTCACAAGCGCCGAGGTCACCTATAGAAGCTCGGAGGACAGCAAGGAACTTCAGGTTTGTCTCTGAAGTTGCCTCTTACACGGTCAGTTTTAGTCTGTGGGTTTACTTGTCTTATCCTTGCGATTTATTGTTTGCAGTGGCTTTGCGGTTTGCATACCGGTGCACGGAAAGCCGTAAACATGGTTTTTTTGCTTTCTCTTTTTTAGTTTGCTCACACCGCTGAGCCTGGAGAGGGCGGCATAATCGCAGTGAAGGACTTTGACCGCAAGTTCTCCCCACATGTGGTAAGTTGTGTACAGTGTTGTCAAATCGGGAGAACTCTATAATGCAGACAACCCACTGTTAACAAAGCAGTCTTCACCGATAGTTTTTATACTCCACGACATTTCGAAATGATAGCCATCGTATTATTTTCTCAAATGGTACACATTTTGATACTGCTGCCAAATATTGTGTGGCAATGTGACAACTCCACCTTGGGTTCCAAACTTTGTTAGTTAAAACCTGTGCCCTTTAAAAAGGTGTGTGCACAGTTCTTGCGCATAGTTCTGATGGTTACAACCACTTCACTACTCTCTTTTAACAAGGTGTGCCAGAACCCCTACAGGACACCACTTTTTAGTCTTGCACAGGGCAGCCCTCGAACATTCTGACGCGGAGAAGCGCCATTGTGCCTTGGCATTGTTGCAGTGGAATAGCTAAGAAACCTACAGACGTTGCCACCAGTAATGCACACACCATAATCGGTGACAGTTAAAGAATTCAGTAGAGTCTCCGCCTCCGGCGAGAGCTTTCTGCCTCCTTCTGTCTCGTCTACTTTGTCTTCAGCTTTCCTTCCCAGTCCCGGGGGTGGCCTGAATTCTTAGCCTGTCGCAGACTGGAGGAAGTGTATCGTTTATAGTAGTTTTGTGTAAATGCGTGGCTCAGATGTCGTAAAATAATGCCTAAACATAAAAAAAAGAACTACTGGGGATCGGGGCGTTCAAAGACCGCTCGAGGGCAATTCCCGGTGCAGGCCGTCGTGGCACCAGCTTCATAATGTATTTCCTTGCACTTGCAGCTGGACTGGCTGGCATTCGCAGTGATGACGCTCCCTTCCCTTGGCATTCCCTTCCTGCTCTGGTTCAACAGCAAGTCCAAATACGAGGCCATTCTGAAGCAGTTCAAGAAGCATTAGCATGGTTGTTGGACTTGAAAAAGGGTGGGGTTGTAAATGATTTTTTTTTAAACCGTCACTTTGTAATAAAAGAAGAAAAAATGAAAGACGTTTACAATCCCCTGTAATGCCGAATTAGAGCGCAGCTCTTGAGGAGGAGGGGGAAGGTGCGGATAGGAGGGTACGCCCCTCCTCTCCTCCCCTTTAAGGGAAAATTTTCTGCTAAATTTAGCGGAGAGTTTTGCCCATTAAATTTAATGGGGAAAATTTTCTGCTAAATTTAGCGGAGTTTTTCTCTCTGAATTTAGCGGGGAAAATTTTAAGCTAAATTTAGCGGGGAAATTTTCCCGCTATATTTAGCAGGAAAATGTTTTCTGCTAAATTTAGCGGGGAAAATGTTCTGCTCAATTTAGCGGGAGATTTTTCCGCTAAATATAATGGGGAAATTTTTCCGCTAAATTTAGCAGTAAAATTGACCCATAATGCAATGCGCAATGACGTCACGTGTGATGTCATCATGGGAAACGTCCCATAATGCACCGCGCGGTTACGCCGACGCCGCTCAGGCCAGAAACGGGCGCCTAAGAGCTGTGCTCTAAAAATGCTGCTCAAGTGCCCAACCTTTCGATCTCTGGGCACAACTGTTGCATGTTAAGAATGGTGGCATGAGCTTTTTTCACAAAGCCCTCCATCCTTTCCATTTTAGCAGAGCGAATGTTAGAGAGGAGGCAAGTGGAGGAGAGGAAACTACAAATTGTGCAGAGTGGAGAGCTTTGGGGGGTAGCTCTTCACCTTATGTTGCACTGCACCTAGTGTCTGTATACCTCATTGATTCCAAAATTTTGCCACAGTGATTAGTCCACTCATGTCTTACAACATTCTTTTACGTGCCAGCGGCTTGTGGGGGCTGCCAGTCTGTTGCAACGGATGTGGTTTTGAAGCGTGATGCTTCACAATTTAGATCCAGTGTTACAACACTGACGATAACAATTTTGTTCTGTTGCAACTTGTTAGACCAAGCAGGCACTTCCCGTTAGGCAGTGATGACGATTATGCAACACTTCTTACAGAGCAACATGATCCAAATGGCATTCAGTGGCTTGTTTACTGGTGGTGCCATCCGTTGTGGATTCTCCCTAAATTGATGACTCACTAATATGACATCACTTTAGGAATCTTCACTTCATGAGAAAATTTCGATACAATGTGAACCATTGCCAACAGGTTGTCCAATAAATTTGGATACTGTTGCGATAGCCTTGTTCCAGCAAAAGGAGTACTACTTTTAAAATGCACGACTCCATGGCCGAAATATTGCAAGGTTTGTCAACTTGCACAATTGTAGCATCAGCTTTCTTTGGGAAAAAGTCAATGTTCACTTACCTCCATGTTGCATTAGCAAAAAGTTTTAGAACTGGAAGATGCACTTGCAGAAGAAAAACAGTCACACATTTCTAAAGTACAATCATCAAGAATTCAGGATATATACAGGAAGATAACTCCCTGTTGGGAGGTGAGTGGCTAGGTACTAAGAGAGACTCTGGTCTATTGTAGATAAAAACTGGAGGCTGAGACTAATGCAAGCTATGTCAAAAATTGGTACAGCATACTAAGTTCCTTTAATTTCAGTCTCTTCTAGAACAAGCATGGATTTCTAGGGTAAAGAAAATGATAGCACTTCTGGGCATTGCTTTAAAAAATGTTTAATCGCTTAAAAAAGAACACACTGAGAACACGCTTTATTCCTTGGGGGAAAAATACGCCGGAAAATGTGGCATGGTTATGAAGTATGTGTTCTTCACCCGTCGCATTTAGCCATGATTAATGCTTAAGGTGAAAGAAACTTTTTCGTTGTGAAGAGGCATTCTACGAAATGACCAGACTCTGCAAAGCAGTTCCTTTGAACAATGAGCAACTATGAATTTTTCTATGTGAGCAAATACACACAAGAAATGGACTGGTTTTAGCTATAAGCTGGGTTTAAACACTCAACGAAATATGGATTCATGCGACATGTTGCAGCAAACCACTCACCACCTTCAACCTAAAATCTGAGAGCAATCAAAATGAAGCACTAAGACATTCTACTAATGCTCTGCAGTAGACAAATGAAACAACAAGCATGACTAGGCAGAAAACGCTACAACGCAAAGACGCCCAGAGTAAAACTTAGTTGGAGCTCAATAAATAAAAACAAACATTGATCAAATGTCTGGTTGAAGAATATTAAACATTTGGATTAAACATTATCAGCCTATTTGATGCAACAAGGTCACTGGTAGAGGCTATACTACCACTTAGCTGATCGAGGAAACGTTACAATTGTGTATTACCTTTCCACTCTGAATGAACGCTAATGCAGAGTTGTGATACTGCATGTTTTTACCTGTGCCTGACTCGTAATCTTCGCCGACTAATACCGAACAGTGAGGAAGAGCTCGACTGAATAACGATTCCACGCCGCCGCTTTCTGAAAAGCATTGTCACGCCACCGGATTCTTGGCTCGTAAGTGGTTTGTTACAACGCCAGTCTTGTTCTTCGGCATGAGGCAGTAGAGTGTGTAACGAAAGGGCACGACCAAGGTCGGACAAGGTCAGATACGTTCCACGTAGTTTGCGGGGAAAAGCCCCTCCTTTCCTTTGAGCCGTCCGAGCCACCATCCGGACGCATCTGCAAGCCACGTGAAAAAGATGAGCCACTGTTTTATAAAAAAGATCAAAGACGCCACTAAGTTGTATTAAGGCTGGTTCACACATCTGCACGTGAGTCTGACCGACTGCGTTCCCATGTATACTCACGGAAAACTTTTTTGTGGCTATGCAGCCAAAGGTATGGGGGGGGTGTTGTGTGTATGTTTATACAGCCTAGAACTTGGTCTGCCTCACAGGGGCGACGAGTCTCCCAGCTGTAGATGAGAAATTTAGCCAGTGCGGTACAACCGCTAGCCTGGGGTCTTTAACGTGCATCACGCAGTAGTGATACACGACCGCACGCCGGTACGATGCTCATCCAGATCGAAACGGGCAGGGGTGGGGCTCGAACCCAGGATCCCTGGGTTCTGCAGCGCGAGCTTTCGCTCCACGTGCTCTGAACTGGTGTGCGCTAGACCACTCGGCCACCGATCCCCCCAAAGGTATGGGGGCGCGTGCATGAACGCCGTTCAAAGCTCTGCACGTGCATTCCTCCTCTCGTCGAAGATGCCACAGAAAGTTGCCCACGGGTACAAGGCTCTTATGGCAAGAAAACAATTGCGTCTCTTTGGTAACCCCGGACCACTTCCAATTTGAGTAGGTAAGTATTTTGCAAGCTTTGAATGCATAATTCATGGGCTTCAAATGATTCTGACAATGTTTTAAGTAGGGTTCTGTGTTTTTGGTATTTATTTTTCTTCAAATTTATGGGTTATTCATTGGTGTTTATTTTCTTCCCTTGAATCGGTGTTTTTGGTGCCCAATTTCAATGCCGGAGAGAAATCGGTGTTTATCGGACCTGTGCTATAAAGCGACTGACAGTAAAGCCTCGTTAATTCAATCGCCGCTAATTCGGAAATTCTGATAATTTGAACTGCCAATTCGGTCCCGTTAAACGTGTGCAGTAGTCAATGGCACCAAACGCTCATTAATTCGGAGGGAATGTGGCGTGCTATGGTTAATTCGGAAGAATTCGGCAGGTGGCGCAAGCTAGCATCCGTTCCAGAACGTATGACCACTATCCATCTGAGGTGCACACATGGTTTTTCTGGTTTTCCCATGGTTCTTCGCTCTTCCGGTTCTCCATATGTCGCGCCAGTTTTGTTCTGGATTGCCGTGCGTTAGCGCGCTCGTCTCTTGGCATGGAAGCTGCAGAAGTACAGCTGCAACGGAAGAAGAGTAGCACAAGTGACCAATGACCGGAGCGGCAAAATCGCGACACGCGGTGCTATTGTTCCCGAACGCGCCGATAGCGAGAGTGACTGTCACGTTTCATGCCTCAACGCGGGGTGGCCGGCAAAAAGCAGCCCATTCTAAAGCCCGCGTTTTAAGAGCTATCTTATCCCCGAATTTTCTGCCGGCCACCCCCCTGTTCAGGCATGAAACATGTCAGTCACTGTCGCTATCAGTGCGCTCAAGAAAAATAGTGCCGGCTGTCGCAATTTTTCCGCTTCGGTCATCGGTCACTTGTGCTACTCTTTTTCCGTTGCAGCTGTACCAGGCCAAGAATTTAGCGATGAAAGTGGAAATACTCAGGGTCTTGAAGGACGGCGTCTCCCGACAACAAGTGATGAAAAGGTATGACGTCAAGGGAAGCACTTTGGCCACGTTTGTGAAAATTGAGGCCGAGATCCTACAGGCATTCGAGAGTGAGAAGATTACTGCGAAAAGAAAGCGGCTGTGGAAGGAGGTGCACCCGAAACTAGAAGCGGCCTTGCTGTGGTAAATTGTCAGTGCCCTTGGGATGCATAGCTCTGACACTGCGAGTGCGGTGGAGCACCTGACCGCAGTAAGGAAAGTTTTCGTCTCCACCCAAATGTCATCCAGAAAGCAGGCGGCAATAACAGATTTGTTCTCAAAATAAAGGTATGCCACAGGGAAACATTTTCGCGCAATTTTCTTTGTCCTTTCGATGTTTCGACTTTCGAATAATTCTGACATTTTTACTGGTCCCATGAGATCCGAATTAACGAGGTTTTACTGTACTTAGTGGAGAAAATATTATGAGTTATAAATTATATCATCTTCTCCAGTAGTCCTGGTAAAGACAAGGGAAGGGAACGGAGCAAGGAATGTGGTTTCAATAGAAAGGAACAACCTCAAGGACAGTTCAATGCAACTGTGTTCCGGGTCAAAGAGGAAAAAAGAAGTTGGGTAGAAGATTTGTTTCTCCCGTGAAGCTGGCGTTTTCTTTTTTCTTCAAGGAAAGCTTAAATTTGGGTATTTCAGTTTCCAATGATCTAGAGAAAACCCCCTTAAGGGTTAACTTTCGGTGTTTATCGGTATATACCGAAAACACGAAACCCTAGTGATAAGTGACCATTCCTCATAAATAGCATGTTGATTTTATCTCGCAAATACTGGAACACCTCCAGTCTTGTTATACAGGCTGTAAATGTGCTCCAGGGCGGGTTTTCTCATCATAGGCGGTTATGAGCCATTGTGACCGCTTACGGCAGGATAGATGATCTTGGTAACGCATAAAAACTGGGAACTCTAGTTCGATTAGTAGGCGCAGGATACCTTCTTTGAGAATCTCAATGACGTCGCCCTCTGTTACGGCCAGTTCGTCTGTGTCCTGCGGCTCGTAGCCGTAAATGGCTCGGCAGGTTGGAACGGCCGGCTTGGGACGGCCCGGTGGCTTCGGCTTGCCGCCGCCCGGAACGGGACGGGCTTTTCTGGAGTTCCTCCGCTTCTCGCTGGAGAGGAGACGCTTCGAGTCAACAAAAGCAGAAAACAGCAGAAAAAAAAAAAAAAGCTAATTCAGCTTAAAACTTAAAAAAAGAAAAACTAACTTACTCAAAAAAAAAAGATTTTAAGACGAAAAAATAACTGTAAAAGCCAGCTCACGCATACACCACAGTGCGACCTCGTTGATGCAGTGCCCACTTTGTTCTGTATTAGTGATACAGCACAGGAAAAGAACTGCATCAGTGCTACATTTGCTGCATTCGATTTACCTGGTTTCTTGTACCAGCTAGCTGCACTCGGTGCAGACTGCTGTATTCAGTTTACGAGTACAGCCTATCTCAAAGCACGACCAGAAGTACATTGCCCTGCACTATTCTGCACCGTGCTACACTTCTCATGCACGCTGGTGCAGCACCAATGTTCTTATTGTTGATTCAATGCTGCAATGTATCTGTGAACTCGCTTTAACTGACCCTGGAACTCCAGAAAACTGTGCCTGACCCTCGAACTCCGAAAAAGAAATACCATATCCTTCAGTCTAAATCTCACCCCTTTAAAATGGCCACTTTCACAAAAAAGTTGGTACATAAGTCGCACCTTTGCATGAATCGCATTTCTTTGTGCAGTTCACATGGCAAAACTGCACTCATGAGCCCGCATATGTGCACAGTGATTGTGATAAGAAATGTGCAAGCATGAGCCAGTGTCAATATTCTTGTCAACAAATCAAACAAGTTTATAGGCTGCACATAGGCAGCTGACAAACTGCCCCTGTGTTTCTTTTTTGTATGCTTAGAGTTCTAGCCAAGAAAGTCTGGTAGTCCATATTTGTCTGGCTATGACGCCAGGGCGCCAGCAATGCTGGCAACCGCTGCCTGCTGCATCTGTGGCTGCCCCAACCAAATCGAAAAAAAAAAAAAAATAATAAATCTTTCTTTAATATATACCATATCGGGCACTTGACAACAGGCCGCAATCTTTCTTGAACAACACGTTAGTCGATTCGATTGGGCCTTGAACTCTGACTTAGCGGTGCATCCGCCAGAAAGGCTTCTGTCTTCCTACCACTGCTCTCCTCTCTTTCCAAATTATTTTTATTTATTTTTTATGACCTCCTATCCCAGGCATTAAGACTTTAGGGGAGAGTAAAGGGGCCACCAGTGAAGAAAGCAGTCGGCGTGATTTCCATTGATTTTGCTAGTCTAAATGTAATCATAACCTCTGGTATTTAACAAGAACATCGACATGGACTACGACGGAATCAGCAGGAAATGTCGAAACGGTGAGTTCTTGCTGAGGGCGAAGAAGGACAAGTCGGAGATCTCGAAACGATTTAGAAAAATGGTTGACAAAGACGAAGCTATCAGGGATTTTATTGCTCGCAGCACTTGCAAGAAGGCGTATCAGTATTCGAGCCACCAGAGAGGCACATCTAACCTGTTGAAGCACAAATGTTAAATGGCAAATACAACCCTTTGGGGACACACCTTGAAAAACCAAAGCCTTCTTCCTCCGTGACAAGTGCAATGAAGGAGTGTGTCGTCAAGAGCACCGTAGAGTTTATTGCGAGGGATGTGAGACTGTCTGAAGCGATTGTTGGACAAGGTATGGGGACGTTGGCGCAGTGCTTCCTTGGTATTGGAGCCGAGTGTGGTAGACACGATGCAGCATTACCGCTGCCGCACCCGACAACGGTGTCTCGGAATACAGCACATATTGCTGACAAAACATGAAAGCTTGTGAAAGTGGAAATACGTTCCATCGTTGAGTCGCAAGGCGTAGCGGCAACCTTTGATTTATGGACGGATGATTACCGAAAAAACTGCTGCCTTCGTATAACGCCGCACTACACGAAGAACTTCAAGCTGGTGCAGCGCGTGCTTTGCACTACAGTACTCGATAAAGAGAGCAAGAAGACAGGTGAAAACATTCTATCTGCAATACTCCAGGCGCTCCAAAGGTTTGACCATGAAGACTCTCTTGCAAACTTTGCATTTGTTACAAACAGAGGCACGAATGTAATTTCGGTGCTGAGATCATTGGTGTGCCTAAATTGTGGTGCACACAGTCTCAACACTGTTCTTGAGACGACAATCCGTGCTGATGAACGGGATGATGCCACTGCTCTCTCAGATCTTCTCTGAGCCTGTCGATCCTTGATTACATTCTTCAAGCGGTCTGGCCTGCAGTGCCGTTTAGAGTTCTCGCTCACAGGAGACATCAAGACTAGGCGGAACAGCAAGTTAGTCATGTTCTTTTCTATTCTTCAGCAGGGGGAACAAATCATTGCAGTTCTGACAGAGAAAGGCGAAACAAGCCGCGTAGACGACATAGAGAAAAATACTTTGCAGTGTCTCGTAAACTTTCTTGGACCCTTCAAGGCGACGAGTGATGTCATTATGTCATTGAACCCTCTATTTCGTGGTCATGTGGTGAACGCAACTTCTGAAGCACCTAGAGAGAGGAAGTAACGATTCTGAGCTTCTGCAAACGCTCAAAGATACGTGCTCCCAGCTCCTTCAAAAAAAACTGGAACTGCATAGCTTGCACAAGGTTGCTGTGTTTTCTACACCCCAAATTAAAAAGCCTGCGCCTGCTCGACGACTCAGAAAGTTGTTACGTACACAATGACGTCAGGAAGATGATCACAGCTGCCAAAGAATGTCAAGTGACGAAGGAAGATCAAGTCGAAGATGTCAAGGTTATCTCCGCTTCGGAACCGCCTTCGAAAAGAAGAGGACATTCGAACGACGAGGGCACTCTGTCTGATTTGGAGGACACAGACGACGAAGTGGCAGACACGGCAAGTGACGAAGTCAACAAATACATTGCCTTCAAGTGGATCCAGGAGATTGAATTCGATCTGCTGAAGAGGTGGAACTTGCGCTGACACGAGTTTCCTTACCTCACTTTTGTGGCTCAATTCATGCATGCCATTCCAGCAACAAGTGCACCAGCGAAGAGAGACTTCTCATAGGCAGGTTTTGTAATTCAAGAGAGGCGAACAAGCCTGAGTCTTTCCATCGTTAACGATATCCTGTTCCGACACAACAACCTTGACAAGTGAAACAGGGCGTGTAATGCATTGTGGTGAGCGATCGCCTCTCCTCTCTTACTTTTTAATTGCTTCCTTGATACCAGCTGAATGTAAAGGAAAAGCGTTCTATGTTCAGCTGGAATTCAGGTTAAATTGCAACTGTATACTAATGTGTGGAGCTGTATCGAATGAGTGAATCTGATTGACCAGGAAGTGTTTTGTTACTGTGTGTGAGTGTTTTGTGAGTCCAATGCTGCCATCATTTAAAGGGGGCCGAGGGCCCCACAAGCTGCGTTTGTAGCTTTTTTCCTCGGCCTCCTCCATTCTGTATGAAATGGAAACCAATAAAGAAAGAAAGAAAGGAAGCATGTCAAACCAACCGGCTCAGCTCCAGGCCGTCACAACTTACTTTTTAATTGTTTGACCAAACTAAAATGTCATAATGGAGTATGCCCTTTGTTAACTTTTATGTTTGAAAAGTATGCATCAGCTTAAAATAGGTGTTATAAAGCAAAAAAAAATTTATATATTCTTGTGCGCTTTTTCTGAGCAAAGTGTCGTGGCGTCCTAGGACTAGCACATAACTGTGATAATTTTTTCAGCAGTGCGCAGTATCTCGGGAAGGCTGATCGCTTTTAATATAAATACGACGAAACAGATAATGATAAAATGACATCCACTGTGTATAGTGACCCGAAGATTTCTTTGTACAGTATGGACCACTTACAACGTAACCACTTATAGTGCAGGACCGGGTATAACGCGGCTTTTTTAAACCACCGGTTCGCCTACCATAGAACTCCATGTAAATACATACCGCTTAAAATGCAGGCACACAAAGGGAAATATCGGTTATAGTGCGGTTTCTGGAACAGCCCGCCGACCGCACCGACTGACCGGCGCAGCGAGCACGCTTCCCTGTGCGACACTAAATAACGGCGCGAGCCACAAGCGGCACTCGCGGGGCAAGGAGGTTGCTCGAAGAAGCGGGGAGAAGCGAAGAGAGAGGCTTCAGTTGCCAAAGCGACGGAGAAACGCACGCACGTGTCGTTCACGTGCATGCGTCCCTCCGCTGCGTTGGAAACAACCGCAACGACAGACCAATCGCAGGTCGAGGAGAAGTGTTCGCGCGTTGCATGCCGGTCGCGGGCCGGCTGCTTCTATCCGCAAACATGGCGTCGGTTGTGACAGTCGACGTAGACGGCGTGGTGGAACCTCATCATTCCGCGTAAAAGCGCTATCCTTGACTGTGAATTTTCGTTGTGTGTCGCTATGATAACTCAGCACATACTAGAAGGGAAGATCCACCTACTCGTGCGGCGATGTTGTTGTGGCACTCTCAAGACGGCAGAAACGCCTGTGTCATTGTGTTTGTTTACTTCGACTACAGTGGTGCTTTCTAAGCATTTGTGTTTTCGAACATCGCCTGGATTTCTTATTTGGAGCATTTCATGCCTGTGCTCAAGTTGAAGGTATTACTGGCGCGTACCGTATAAAGGATGCAAATTTTCATGCGTTTTCATCGCAGGAAAAAAGTGATTAGGGTTAGCAATCCGGAACGCTCGCAACGTCCGTCCGCAACCTGCGATGCCATTAAAAGGCTGCGCCAGGCAAAAGTCGCTCATTTCTTTCAAAATGTGTGACACACTTGAGAGAGAAGTGTACTAGTCTGGTGAAATAAAGACTTTCCTCAAACTAAGCTTTGTTTTTCATCTAACATAAAATAAATTCTTTTACAATGGTAAGTTGTCTGATGGCATGTATTTTGGCCTGAAAAATCGATGTTTTGGTTATAGCACGGTACTGCTTATAGTGTGAATTTTCGCCACTCCCGCTACATACGTTATATGCAGTCTACACTGTACAAAGATAAGCGAAGAGCTTTAAAAGTGCTATTCGTACATTTTTTTTCATTCACTCTTGATTTTACGATATAAAACGAATGCCAGTATTGCGAGTCGGATGCGGTTCCACATTTTGCGGATGCGGTTTGGATACGGATACAAAGTATGCAGATGCGGATTGGATAAGAATACAATAATGTAAAGAGTCTGCGGATGCAATTCGGACGCAGATAATCAAACTGTTATCCCCCAGGCGAAAATTTCTAACTGGGACCAGTTGGCACCTCAACTGGTTTCAACTGGGACTAACTGGTCCCAACTGGGAAGCAACTGGGACTAACTGGTCCCAACTGGGAATCAACTGGGACCAATAGGAGTCCAACTGGGGCCAGCTGAGGGGTCAACTGGTTTGAACCATTCCCAGTTGGGAGTCAACTGGTTTGACTCCCAGTTGGGAATGGAGTGCACTGGAACCAGTTAGGAAAGTAACTGGTTGGAGCGATTCCCAGTCGGACTTCAAATGCCTTTCCCGTTCCCAGTTCACACTGGGCAACAATTTGGATAAGTTGGGGGTGTATTGACCTTTGCTAATGAAGAAAACTAAAAACACTAACATTTTTAGATTTATACAAATAGGGAATTTTTAATTACTGGGGTGCATTTATATATTTATAAAAATAATATAAAACTTTTAATTAACTAAATAATTTTTAATTAGAAAATATAATTAGTGACAAAATGTGTTCACCTAAATGAACATTTAGTGCATTATAAAATATATTAAAACATTTATTTAAATACCTACAGTATTTTTTTTTTCTTTTATTAAATAAATTTATCTTTTGACTAATCAGAGCTAGCCGGCCGCCGTGGCACGCGGGCGACGCGGGTGCGGATTAGTGGTACGCGCTGTCGACAGATGGCGCTGCCTATGCTGACGCCGGAGTCGGACGGACGCGGTAGAGAAGGGTCGCCATCGCCCAAGTTGGCGTCGTTATGAAAATGTCAAAACTACAGCTGCGCTTCTTTGGACCTAACTGTACAGTGTACACGCCATGGTGGCGGCGGTGAACTTCGAGGATGGAAAGATGCAGTTCAGCGATCGGAGGGCACCCAGGAAAGACCGGACGGAAAAGAACACGCCGCGGAGAGCACAATGGCGAAAATGGCGGGAGGTCTACCTCGAAAATGTTCGACTGTTGTGACAGAGATTGCAAGGTGGGAGCGCTACCGCATCTTATCAGGACTTCACCTGCGCAACGCAGGATCACGGGTGAGCACCTTTTTTCACGCGATGGGAAGAGAAGCTGAGGACGTCTTCACTAACAGACGCCAGCGGCCGATCTTCCTTCATCTCATCAATACCACCTCTGAAAAAGCGATTCAACCGTCGCAAGCAAGTGGCTAAACCCGGAGCGTGTACGTCACCGAACCTATTTAGTTTCATTCTCCAAGTTTTTGACAATAAAGTCTTGTCACCCTTCCATTTTGTGCCGTGTTTCATTGTTGCTGGAGTTGGTACCAACTCCGACTGGGACCAGTTGTAACTGGGACCAATTCCAGCTGGGACCAACTCCAACTGGGACCAGTTGGACGACTCCAACTGGGACCAGTTGCAACTGGGAATTGTTCCATAAACCAGTTGCAACTGGGACCAACTGGTCCCGGTTGAAAATTTTCGCCTGGGCCATGCAGGGCTCTACTGATCGGGCAGCGATTATAATAGAGCGACCCCACATGCGTTACTACCCAAGGCTGGTTTTTCAGTTTTAACCGCTTTTGTACTTTCGACACCAACAAATGTTTACCGGTGTTCCAGGGTTTTAACCGACTTTGTATCTTTGAAACCGCTAGCTGTTTTTCGGTTAGAACTGGAAAGTTTACAGCCTAGTTATACACCAGAATATGTGGTATGTGTAACAGACCCCATAACTTTCTGAGGAACTGTTACTGACCCCGAAACTCCAGCCTCTGGTGGCCTCATGTAGTCCGCAGAGTCAGCAACGGAGGAATTTCCCGATGATGCTCGCTTCTGGGGCTGGTTGGACTGTGGCAGGTTTGGGGCGTGCCGAAGTGGAGCTACGAATGCAAAGGAAACCAAAGGGTCACACTTTTACAGAGCAACCATATACTTCTTTCAAAAGAAGATATTGGCTATAGCACATTTTCTTGCCCTGCAACTCTCCAAGGCAGTCTTTAGCGAGCCTAACTAACAAACTATTATGCATAAACCTTCCAATGTATCCAAGACTATTGCAACATGGATGCCGCTACTCAAATTTAAAAAGTAAAACTTCTAAATCTTAAGTTTGTCTCTTGCTTTAAATACCATTACTGCTCAATCACTTGTCTAGCATAGCAGCAAGCCAAGCTAAGTAAGTTGTAATGGCCATGGCCTGCCCTGGCGGCAGATCACTGGAGTGTTGTTTTTATAATTTGGGGAAAATCCTCTGGATCACAGCAGAAAGAATTACAAGCACATGGGCGCATGTGGCTTGCGAAAAAAAAAAGTTATTTTTTTCTTCAAACGTTTACCCAACGTCATGGTGTCGCGTGACCTTACGTCATGCGGCGGTATGGCATCACGCGATGTGACACGATGTCACCTTACGGCATCGCATGACGATCACACGTGAACGTCAGTGTCGCAGAAAAAGCAGCGACTCAAGAGTTTCCTTTCGGGGCCCATCACCATTCCAGCACCACGGTCAGACGCCAGCAGTTGTGACCACCGCAGTGTCCTTATTACGTAACGACACCATCGAAGTTACATCTGCAAAATGTTTTTTTAGCATAAATTAACCCTACTATAAACCACCCTGATTATCGCCTTTAGCATGCAGCCACCTTTGTCTACAGGCCTGTGGAACGCGCTCTTAGAGAGCACAGTTACGCTCCTCTGCGGAACACATGCATCCACAGCCCAGCATTTCAAGCCAGCGTGATACTAAGCGCTGGAAAGGTGTGCAGCTAGAGGAGATGTATAGTGAGTACATACAAGAGTAATAACACTTCAGCTACTTTGCTGCTCAAAATCACTAATGCCAGTTATCGGAAGTTCTACTTGAATTCGCAGGGAAGGCTGCTCTGTCCTCCGGAAACATTGAAACAGTCCGCGGCAGGTGGTCGCATCTTCAAATCCTAACAATTGCCAACTGTGCCTGCTCGGCACTAGCACCAGAATAGCGGTGCCCACCGACACTCTAAGTGTACCTTACTTAGTGGCTCTAGCAGGTATACTATACTTTCTTTCCTTTGCAACAGCCTTCCAAACTATCGAGCCCTGAACCCTTGAGATTGGTTGCAAGAGAACAAGAACTCACCTCTGGCTCCGACAGCAGCTGCAAGGTTCCCTTGGACTCTCTGCTGCGCCGCACTTCTTGCCTTTGCATTGTCCCGCTTGTCCGCCGGCGCTCTCTGCACGCCCCTGGACACTCCTGACCGCTGACTCGGGTGGGTCATTCTGTCCGAGGGCTCTGACAAATCGGACATCGGACAATTAGATTTGACACTTGGCGCCCTTTCACCGTAAAGATGGTTGCACCTGCTCCCAGCAAATCATGGGCTCTCAAATTGGGCGTCCTGAAAATCCAAAAGTTCCCCAGAGCAGGAAAACTTTCCTATCTCGAGGAGCACCTAGCACTGGTAGCCGAGGAACCCCTTCCAGTTTCAGCACTGATGTAATAGAGCAGTAAAGCAATAAAGCATCGATGCAATAAAGAGTCATTTATTAATGCGCGGCCATGTGACAAGACACTCCTTAGTATGTGTACTATTAATTTTTACAAGGTTTGTATGCTTCTTTACTGCTTCATTGCATCAACACTGGGAAGGGTTCCTCAACTATTGATTGTAACGATGTGTATTCCTTAAGATGGAAAGATTTGAGAGCCCCTGCGGTAAACTTCTCTATCATGCAAAGGGTCGATTGGTTTAATGGTTTAATTAACCGGAACTCACACAAACTTAAAATGTACTAATGATTTTTTTTTTTTTTTTTTCAATTCTAATTGCCATTTTTTTATCACAGGCCACTTTTAGTTTGTTCACCAGTAAAACGACTTGCATCTGTTGCACTTACAGCTAGGGCACTACCAGGTAAATATGGGACCAAAACCAAATTATGACAAGTTCGTGGCAGTGATACCAGGCTACCAATGCAAGTGACATGTCTACCGGCAGTGGATATTAAAGGGCAACTCCGCTCTATTCCGAAGATTTCGGGATAATGAGTAATTTCGAATTAAAAAGCCGTAGTAAAAGACACTACGTCGTTTGCTTTGCGAAAAATAGGATATATGTTTTTAAATCTAATTTTAAACACGAGCGGAAATCGAAACCGAAACTTCGGCTCCGTCCGGCAACATTGGCCTCGGGCCGCCAAGTACATGGCCATCACGTGGTACGAGATGTCACGTGATCCTCGGCCCAACAACGGGCGGGATGGGGGCGGGCGTGCGGCAGGCGCGAGCGTCGTCTACACCGCACTCTTCGCCACGTTTTGGAGTCTACGGCATTCGACGATGTCTGCACTACTGCGGCATAAGTCTGCGACTCTGCGCACGTGGTGTCCATAGTGTGGACGAAACTCCGAGAGGCAATAATCACAAACGGTGAGACGACGACAGTGGTTGTGACGCGGAAGACGGCGGTAAAGGCGGGACCATGGCGGGCGGTTGGTCTGCTCCCAAGAAGCGCACTGCGCAGGCGCGTACGCCAATCACGTGGACACCGCTGAGCGCCGAGAGGCAACGTTGCTGACGTCATGCGCTACGCTCGATCGGAGAACTAAAAACAAGCAAAAGGGGGCCATGGTGATGACGTTTAGCTTAATGTTGGCTCCGCCCATGCCGTAGCCTTGACTGCGCTGTTGGTTGCGCCTGAATTCGCCCGCTCGAGTCAGCCGATTTCGGCAACTTGGCGAGTTGCAAAGTTTGCCGGACCGTTTAAGAAACATTTAGACAGAACTGCGTCGTAATATCTGACGTGTGGTCTTCCTAGGCGATACTGAAAAGTACTGCATTGTTTTTTCAAAACCAAAAATGAAGCGGAGTTGCCCTTTAACCCCTTCGCTTCCGCTATGATGCGGCCCCTTTCCGCGTGGTATACCGCGCCCCGTTTTCACTGTGCCCGTGCCTTCTGCGGCGCCGAGGAAAAAGTTTAATAAATTCCGCAAAAAACGTCACAGGAATATAACTTTTTTTTATTTCAATCCTGAATTACAGGATAACGGAATGCACTTAAAAGACTTTCGAGTGTGAAATAGCTTAAAGCACACGGGCATGTGAAGAGCGACTTCACATTTTTCGCACTCCCAGCGGCTCACACTTCTTTTGCCCTGGACCTTGCAGACGTGGCACCGCCTAGATGGGTTTGGTTTCGTAGCGTTGGCTGGGATCTGGCGAGGGAAATGCGCCCATTCGCATCCCTCTAGGCGCATCGGCGAGGCACTCACTGATGGCTTTCCCCGTCGCTTGTAACCGGGCAACACCGTCTCCTCCACGATCTGCTCGGCGAGGTCGACTTTCCAGTCCGTGTAGCTAGACTTCTTGCCTGTGGTATTTCCGCAAAGTATATAGCTGTTGTAGACAGCTATATCCATGACGTAGATCTTTTTGTACCCCTTGGCATATCTCCGCATAATGGGAAACGATGTCATGTGCTGATCCTCACGGTCGACGCCTCCCATACCTCTGTTGTAATCAAGCACAACCTGGGGTTTGAGGATTGGCTGGTTGTCTTTTCTCTGTTTTCCTGTGTCTGTCAGGTTTGTTGCGTCATGGGAGGTTGAAAGCAAGGTTACGGGCTTCTTGTCCTGCCATGTGACAGCCATCAGTGCACGGGAAAAGAGGCTGCGACAGTCACCCTTTTGAAGCTTGATTTTTTTCAGCTCCTGCGGCATGTTCTTTCGATGCGCCCGAACTGTCCCGACAGCGTTAGACCCCGCTTCCTTGATATGAAGAAAGAGTAGCGGGGATGAGTACCAGTTGTCTGTATAGATGGTGTGACCATTTCCAAGATGGTCTCCCACAAGGTCGATTACAACAGCCTCGCTGCATAGCATTCCAGCTGTTGCCGGGGTCCTCTCACTTTTGCCCGTGTAAATAGAAAAGTTGAGGCAGTATCCGCTTGACGACTCGCACAGCTTGTAAAATTTTATACCAAAGCGCGCGCGCTTTGGTATAAAATGTAGGACAGACGACCACGAAACTTCATGAGGCTCTCGTCTACCGCCAGTCCCTCTCCTGGAGAATACGATTCGCCAAAAACCTTCAAAACATAGTCCAGGACTGGACGCAGCTTTCGAAGTTTGTCGTCATCAACTGGCAGGCTGTTGTCACACAGGTGAAAGTATCGTGAAAGCGCCCAAAACCGCTGCCTGGGCATCACGGATGCGAAGAAGGGCGTGCTAATGACGCTTCTCTGAGACCAGTAGGCTTGAATGCTGCTTTTTTTCACTTGGCTCATGAGAATACAAAGGGCAAAGTATGCCTTCATCTCACCTGGAGTTGTGGGAAACCACGAAGGGTCCGGAGAGGAGGCCTGCTTCTCAAGTGCGTAGGCATTCGTGTGACGTGCAAGCATCTGCCAAAAGTCTTCGCCTATCAAAGCACTGAACATTGAGAGGGATGTAGGACTGTCCCCTATAGCTATCTGAATAGTTCTCTTTACACCTGGTGTTCCGGCGAATGGGATCTTCGCGACTTTGTCGGCACTGTCGTCATCCTCCCATTGCCAGGCGTCGAGCCTTGGAGCTTTCGATGGTGGTGGCGTGACGGGCACCGAAGAATCAAGTGGTTCTTCTGAGTCCGAAGCCTCAGCATCGTTGTCACTGTTTGAATCACTGCTTTCGATGTCCATGGCAAATTCCGGGTCGTCGCAGTCGTCATCCTCATCACTTTCAAACACCAGATCAAGAATTTCCTCGCTGGTGAGACGACACCTCTTCCGCGACGCCATGTTTTCATACAAAGAAAAAGAACCGCAAACTTCTTCCTTTTCACTTCGAAATGTTCATGAAATAATCACGTACGTGGTACCATCTGGTGTCAAAAGTACTAGTCAAAACACCTACAGCCTGTAAAGTGTCGCCATCTATCAATATATTTTGGAAACAAATTATTTTGCGGACGACGGCGATTCGCCGACTTATTGCACTTTGGCCCTTTCTCCCGCGGACGGCGGATTGCCGTCTTCGGAAGCAAATGGGTTAATGATTTAATGCACCCAGTCATAACAATTCTGACACATTTATATGACCGACTGACCGGAACAAAGTAAGTTGAGGTCGTTCTGACTCTGTAACAGTTAACTTTACTGGTGACCATACAACCGCAAGCACATGACGGCACCTGCGGGGATCGTTCACAGTTTCTAGGATGGTTCATTCTCAGAATGGTCGTCTTCCTAGGAGGGTATAACCTTCTAGAACAACATTTTAAAAAAGTCCACTAGAATTGGTGGGCCATTACGAAATAGCCCATCAGAATGAACCATTTCAAGCAACTCACTCGAGCTCTTGGGCAGTCCGGGGCCAATGGACACCGTGAGAGCACCCCCTGTGACCTTGAGGATGGCCTTGTCACCATGGCCGCTCGTCACATTCACAACCTTCGTCGATCCACCGCCAAACAGTCCTTCCTTCTTCACCCTAAACTCCAGTCTGCAAATGAAACGAACAGGAAAAGGCTGTTGAGGAGCCACCTTAGCCAAAACGATGCACATGTCACAGTTTTGACAGAAAAAGCAAGCTTGTAAACAGTGAAAAGTTCATCCTAAGGGCACAAGGTAAGTCCTATAGACCCTGTATAGATTGGGCCATGTTGAGGAACGTTTTTCTCTGTAAATAATAGGAGTATTTCTATCACATATATATTATTCTGTTACAAAGTTTTTGCTTTTTCTACTGAATCCGAATTAATAAAACCAATGAAAAATAAATTTCTTATCCATTTTTTTTTTTCCAGTACTGAAATTTTAGCTCTCTTGGTGTATTAAAAAATGGCTCGCACAAAAACTGTTACGTGCATATTTTTAAGTCTAGTTCAGTACTTTCCAACACCTGTAGATGGCAGGAATAAAAAATCAACACTTTATATTGGCGGGTTCAGGAAAAAATGGTACCTCTGTACTGAAAAACACTGTAGCAAGATAATTGAGCTAAAAAAAAGACAGGTAAATAACAAATTGTTATTAGCACAAACACTGTCAGAGCCATTTCTTCAATATCCGCCAGCTTGGTAGTCATTGCTAGAGTCATGTCTTTGCTTTTCTCGTTGCTTGCCAGGCCTCTTTCGTGACCTGACGTGTTGTTCGGTCGGCAAAGCACATATTTGAATGACAACATATGGACCTTTTCCACATACCGACGGCACCAGGCGGTGGCTGCACGAACTAAAAATCGAGGAAGTGACCTACCTGAGCTACCAATCGATAATGGGAGCTACGCTACCAGTTGCTTCGCTCTCTGAGCAGCGGCGCCTGCCCAACGCGACTTTAAAGAGGGGCATCCGTGGCGTCCACCCAAACGTTGTGTTTTCCTTTCCGTCGACGTTCTTTTTTTGTGTAACACAATTATATATATGCTGCAGTTACGTGTTCTACTCGCTGATATACAGCCTCCTTCCGAATTTCCTCGATTTTTCGTACCGACTTCCGCCGCTTGGCATCGGGCGCTCGCGCGTGCGCAAAACGCTTCTCGGAGAAGGTCCATTACCTCAGCCACTTGATGGTGTACCACACAGGGTTCAATCCATAGGACTTCAAAATATTGGCTTGTGCGATGCTACCACCATTGAATGAAAGAACAGCATCCAACGCCGCCAATTTGTCGTTAAAAAACACAGGTGCTTGAAAGTATAAAGCACGTGCACAAACCCTTGGGATTGTCTCAGTTCAAAAAAAGCTTTGCAATAGTTGCAAGATCCCTTTTAAGGTGTAGCTCATTCAGAACATGCTTTTAAATCTGGTGTTAATTTTTTTGTTGTTGAAAATTTTATTGATAAACAAGGAGCATATCCCACAAGGGGTGCATGGCCACCCACTACTTGCTTTCGGAAAAAGATTTTACCGCCCGAAATATAATTTCGTAAGAAAAATGTGACAATGGAAAATGTGCACAAAGAAATAAACTTTTCAAATTGTAAAACAGCTAAAATGATTTTTTTTTTTTTACTTTGTGCTTTTAATGCCAACCTCTGAAGCCAAGAATTCAGCTACTGTCAACGCTAAGCCAACAGGGTGGTGGAAGCTATGTGTTTGTTGAACCAGTCGACCGTCAGGTTTGCGTCACATGATTAAGGTCTCCGAACATGCACATGTGCACATGCACAAAGAGTGGGGTCGAGTGATAAAAGACAGGTGACTGATTGGTCCAACAAGCACATAGCTTCCAATACTCTGTCAGATTAATGGTGAACTTGAGTATAGTTACAACTTTATTTCATCGCAGACTACACGTTGCAATGTCAGGGCTGTGCTACTTCCTATGGCGCATTACAGTTATGGCGAATTCGCATGGTCAATCGTCGGCAACTTATTTTTCCGGAAAACCGGCAATAGTGTTCGCATGGTCAGTTTCCGGCCGGCGCGCACCGTTCGGATGGTGGTTCTCCGGCAAGCACCGGCAACTTTCCGGCGCTTTTTCCGCCCGAGCTCCGAACGGCCGGGCAAGTAGGCACCAGACTGTATCCGCTGTCGTCACTTCCCAAATGAGAGAGAAGGTCAGTGAGAAAAAAAATGAACAAAAGAATGAAACCGATCTGAAGTAACTTTAGCAGCCGCTACGAAAGCCAATCCAAGTCGTTGGAACATGAGTGAAGGCGGCGACATGCGACGACAGGCTCTCGCTAGCGGTGTCGCGCGGGCAAGAGGCAAAGTAAACTGTCACCGTCTGGCGTTTCGTGTTCGGGTGGTGAGGGTCACGTGGTGTGCCGCCGGCGCGTTTCTGGTTGCCGGTTCCGCCGGCTCGTTCTCGCCGGCAACTGACCACCCAAATTCGCCATTAGAAGAACATATATCAGACGTGCAAAGAATAAAAAAGAAAGTGTGTGAAAAGGCTTGCGGGCACTAGTGTCTCCGCAGAGCATTTTTGGAAGATGTGTCAGGAATGCTCACTTTCAGAGACAGTTTGTATGCTTTATAATTTCAAAATATTGAGGTAAAGTTCCATGAACGCCCCTGCCGTGTCGTCTAAAAAAGAGCATTCAGTTCCCTTTACAAAAAGTGACGCATTTTCAGGACTTAGACTGCAGACTAATATACAAAGATTTGCTTTTTCCAGATATTTCATTATGAAGAGACGTGACAGATTCTTTGGATGGCAGAGTATGTTAATGATGATTTATGTGTGATCCGACATCCTCTGTGAGCTCATAAAGCAAGCATTTGTCAAGGTGTGCTGCACATGAGAATTGTTTACATGCAGACAAAACACCAGTTATAAACTATCTAAGGAAAACTTTTTTCCTTTCAACTGAAAAGTTTTAACTGACTATAGTCCAAAAACGAGACCGGATATAACAAGGTCGGTTATAACGAAATAGCGGCTACAGCGAAGCGATCACGATTTCCCATTCTCTTCTGCACTTCGTAATAACCCAACTCGGTTATAACAAAATAGTGGATATAGCGAAGGGATTTCCGATTCCTGTTGACTTCGTTATAACCGGTCTCAACAGTATTCATGTGGAGTATAGACCAATACATCGGAAGCACCTGCTACCGAATCTTACACAGCTAGCTCACCTGTCTGCGAAGTGAAGATTCAGCGGCCGGTGGCACTTCTCCTTCATCTTCTTGTCGAGAGCAAACAGAAACTCAGTCTTGAAGACAGACTCGAGGAAGCTGTCGTAGTCATTCTTCACTTGGATCACCAGAAAGTCGTCCTGACGCGTGCTGTTCCAGAAAAAAAAAAAAACAGAAAACAGTAGAGTTACATAGTCACTGGTAACTAAGACCGGCGGGGCACCTCTTTTGAGCACTGGCCTCCAGCATGCGCCGGGTGCCTTCGACCATGCTCTGGCTACGCATGCACGCCCCTACTATTTTTATCTTGACGGTGACTATAGTTTGCACGTCCTGTTATATGACTACTTGGAAATCAAACAACTTTCAGTGCAATTCCAGCTACTTTTGAACTGACAATACTCAGGACAACCAGACAGATTAGGCACTGGTGTGAAATCTACTAGGCGGCATGAAACGACTGTTGCCAAGAGCAAAGCGATCAAATTTATGTCGACACTCAAAGGGAGCATGCAGAAAGAAACCACTCATTAATATCGCACAAGAGATACCCCTAGCGGTCATGAAGAGTGCAGGGTGTACAAGAGTTGTGACGCTAGCTTTACATTATACGTTTCACTGTGCACAGTGCAAGAATGCAGAATTTCCTCATAGCCGCTGTCTTGAACTTTCCTACCATATCTGGAATACTACTCTCAAATTGCAATGTGTTCAACTGTTAAATATAATGCGTGAGCTAGCTCGATCACTTTTATTGCATGCTTATGGCACGGTAATAGTGGCCAGACCCCTACTTGCGTTCGGGTAATCCCAATTGCCACAACTGGGCTGAACCGCCCCTGTCAAGAGCAGCCAATAAAAAATTATCAAGCAAGCTCACACATCTATGCTACAGCTGAACAGGCGATACCCAAGATTCCTGTTAGAAACTCCAATATAAATCTTACATCCAACTAACTCAAACAAAATCTAAAGATTTGAACGGCTGTTTATTCAACCTATTTGCATATTGCTTCATTCAGTCAAAAAATAATGTTCCCAAACTTCTGGTAAGTTTGTTGAAGCTATGAAAGCTAGTCTTACTACTATCATACTGGTCAAACCAGTGTAAACACTATACAAACTTATGTTTACCTCAGAGTTATAGTAAGAGCATTGTGATAAAGCATTTACCCGATGAGCAAGTACCTCACCTCACGGTCACCTGGGAGATGTTCTCAAGGTCTATCCGACGCTTCACCACTTCCCTGATCTTTCCTTTGTCGGCGCCTTTCTTCACCTGTCATCGAAGCAAAGAATGGAAATTTATTGCATTATCACAATCAAGCCACGCAAATAAGGAAAGGAAGCGAATGCTTCACGGGTGTCTTCACCTTTTCCCTGCCGACCAGGAACACCGATTTCGGAGTGAGTATCAGATCCCGCTTCACCGGCTGCAACAATGCGTACAAATGGCATATTTTAGAAAAGACATTTGTCAACAAGGTCACAAATCAAACAAAACAAAATCTATATCTAACTGCTCATGACTTTCGGCTATGAAGAAGAAAATTTTTTATAAAGACTGTCTTAGTGCCCTAAACAGTATCAGAGCACACTGTTGAACGGATGAAGGGAGGTCTCAAGCCATAAATATTGGCATCTGCGCATAGAGAGCTCAAACATTCACTGCATGTACATTTTGGTGCTGCATTTTACCCGGAGAAATTTCAAGGCGTAAATCCCTCCCTGCGAAAAATGAGACCAACAAACTCGCCAGGCCAAAGCCTATCGGGACACGGTGCCGAAAGTTAACTTGACTGTCTGCAAACTTGTGTCTGCCATTGACCCTGGCAAGTTTGCTGGTCCCATGTTTTGCACGAAGGGAGTTACGTCTTGTAATCTTATTGGGTAAAATGCACCACCCGAATGCACATACAATGAAAGTCTGAGCTTTCTGTGTGCAGGCGCCGATGTTTTCAGCTTGTTTCACGGTGCTACTGTCGATTGTAGATGCCCTATACAACACCCCAGGACTACTACTAAAAAAAAAAAAGCAAAGATAGCTTTTGAGGTTTACCTTGAACCTGCGGTCGTACTTAAAGACTGTCTCAGCGAATTCGATGCGCTCTCGTTTCCCGACGAGCACCCGCAGCTCCGGATGCTGGTCGAGGCCGATGTAGTCGCCGACAAAGTTGCGGTTCAGGCTGTGGCGCCTGCGCTCTTTCCTGCCGTTGAGGATGTCCGCGGCTGTGGCAGAAATAGAGGGCTGATGTCATTGCATTTGGGGGCAACTTGATGGAGTGCCCCCGCCAACTAAACAGTCCAAACAAAGCACAAATATTGTCGGAGACGATAAGAGCGATGAAAACTTGGACAGTCTGCGCAAGTCAGGTCCTGCGTTTGAGACAGAAGATGGCGAGCAACGAGCCCTTTTCAAAAGTCAGAGCCATCTAGTGACAGCCTTAAAACTTCAATGTTTCTATGCACCAATGGCGGTGATAGGAGAATCTTGAATCGACGGCTATGTACAAGGACCAACTTGTTAGAATCAATTTCACGATTTTGGCCCTGTGCTTTCAAAGACGTTCACTTTTCCTGCTGCAAAGAAGTTGGCTTGTGCCGTCTAAGGTCACTGGATCCTGGGAAAGTGACACCATTGCCTTCCTTGCCTGCGAGCCGGATTCAAACGGACAGTAACATACAGACGACCAAACCTCGCAAGGCGATTGGCTGATCAGTCTTAGTTGCCATGGAAAGCGCCGTCTCGGTCCATTGAAATCTTCGAAGCTTCGAAAGGGTTGTACTGAACCAGTTGCACCAAGATCACCTGGAGCATCACCGTACTGAAAGCGTTCCTCACCAACAAAAACATCTTTGGCTCTGTGCATGCAATCCACCCATATCAATCACGCTTATCTCCGGAGATCACTTACAATGGCATTGTTGTTCTTGCGTATTTAAAGACGGGAAAATTACTTTTCGATGGAACTAAGCACCAGCACCGCACATGGAGGAAGTGCGAAGATGTGCGCTTGTTTCGCCAGTGTGTGGATAACAAAATCTCGGCATTCAAGAGACGTCTCTCTAAAGCTACCCGTCACCAGCGAAGTGAATTTAGATTGGCTCACCAAGAATAGAGGGGTTAGAAGAAACTGCCCCTTTCCACGAACCAAAATGGCGATCATACGGGGAGCTTGGCACTACTTTCCCAGGATTCGGTGACATTAGTGACACCAATAGATCGTCGGGTTCAGTTTTAGACAAGGTGGCTAAGCTGACTTTTGAAAAGAATTTATAGAAAGTGAAGAGGAGTAAGTTAGTCAACACTACGGCAAATACCTGGCTCTTTTGACCTACCTGCACCAGCCTCCACCAGCGCAAAAAAGTATAGCGCGGTGCAGAAAAGCTTGTAATGCGGTGTGGAAAAGTGTGGGGCAATTTACTTCCGGTAGTGTTTTAAGATAGGCTGCACTCATAAATCGAATATGGCGGTGTGCACCAAGTGCAGCAGTTGCAGGCGGTGCAGGTAATTCAAACGCAGCAACCATGTGCTCGAGGTGGAAGTACTGAGCCCCCACCCAGCTGCTTCTGCCTGAGGTACTGCCTTCGGGCAAAGTACTTCCGGAATGCCTTCTGGATGACACGGGCGTGCTGGTCGTAGCGGCGTTCCCGCACCTCCTCCAGCAGGAAAAGCTGCAAGTCAAATTAATCTTTTAGAACCTTATCTGTCACACTTAGATGAAAAATCTAAGTCAAAGTAAGTTACTGTGGCATAGGCAGGAATGCTTTGGGGGGGGGGGGGGGTTAAATTCTCCTCTGCATACACCACTGATGAGTTAGCAGCGACTTATCATCGGAAAGTTTTCGCAATGAAACAATAAATAGGAATGTACAATTAAATTATAAAGGGATTTATTCTTACGAACCCTCGACAGGATCTACTTCCCAAAGTGATGTATTTCCCCAATTAGATAGAGAAAAAACAGGGATCTAGCGAATAAATACACTATACACAACCAACCTTGTGCCTTTTTCTGGATCGTAAAATTTGTGACAATTTTAAAATTTTTTGAGAAAGTAACTCTTTTATAATAAAACAAATTGTACAGAGAATGCTTTTGCTAAACTGCCCACTAACACCTTCTGCAGTTTTTCTGAAATGCAGGTCCCAGTAATTCTATTAAACAGAGTGAAACAAGGAGACGCCAGGCTCTTTAAATCGACCGGAAAATTTGGTTTCTTAACCTATTGCGCTACGACTTTGTGCAGCGTTGCCCACAGATGGTGCATTTTTTGGTAAAATTTGCAAAGAGCAAACTTACTTGAGGAAAAAGTAAAGAAAGAAAAAGGCAAGCTCCTATGGAAATGCAGCGACGCCACCGGTCTGCAAACAACACGGCGCCGTTTCGCACGGGAGACAAGAGATGGCGCAAGCGGTCGCGACGCCAACTGCCGCCAACGAACGAGCAGACGACGCCGAGAGCCGGCCCTTTTGCAGACAAGGAACTGTAGTTCCTTGCTGTTACCGCGTCTGTCTCTTTTGTTTCTGCGACTGTTGCCGCCTGCGGAACGCGCGCCGCTTTTGAGTCAAAAAGATTGTCTGCTAAAAAGGCCTGCTCTCGGCGCCGTATGCTCGTTCGTTGGCGGCGTTTGTTGCGCCATCTCTTGTCTCCCGTGCGAAACAGTGCCGTGTTGTTTGCAGACCGGTGGCGTTGCTGCGTTTCCATAGGAGCTAAGCCTTTTTCTTTCTTTACTTTTTCCTCAGGTAAGTTCGCTCTTTGCAAATTTTACAAAAAAAATGCACCATCTGTGGGCAACGCTGCACAAAGTCGTAGCGCGATAGGTTAAGAAACCGAATTTTCCAGTCAATTTAAAGAGCCTGGCGTCTCCTTGTTTCACCCTGTAGATCCCAATGTAGAGTCAACTTACACTAAAAATGTGAAATCTGCTAATCTAGCGTGATGTTACATCCCCTCAGAAAGCAGGCACACGTCTCATCTCTTAGCCCAAACTGATGCTTTTTACAAGCAGAGATATTTCCAAATGCCCTTTACAAGCAAAGAGTCTGTCCAGAAATACCACATTTAATCAATATTTCAGCCTCAACGGTGCTCTGGCTTGTTCACAATAAAAACACCTATAGCATGACGGAGAAATTTATGAGCGGTGGAGCCGCTTGCGTTCCGTGGCGCCTGGCGCAGTGAACCGCGGCAAACTCACCGACTCCGGAGCTTTGATGAAGACCTTGGTCTTGCCAAGCTGGTAGTGGTCGCTTTCCATCCCAACGCTCTTCAGTATGTGCACGATGCCGTCCTTGGCGTTGCCGCGCCAGCGCGGGAATGTCTCCTTAGTCAGGACGGCATACCTGGGCGAGCGAAAGCCACCGTGATTACCAAAGACTACAATTAAGGGTGTGGTGCTCGAAGCCCGTCTCCGATTGATGTGTTTATTGCGTCCTCTACAGCGGTCGATGGAAAGCTAAGCAGACACGAGACGGGAACCCAAGACGACAGGTCGATAGGACGGCAAACACACCAACCAAAGGCAGGCCTCGTAGTAGCGACTGAAGCTTTGTCAAAAAAAACCCGACCTGTGTAGAAACTTGTCGAAGACGCGGCGATATGCGAAGCCGGCACGACGCACCCGCACATTCTCTTTCAGCCCGAGGTACTCCACCTGATGCCTGACCCTGCGAAGTTAGATAATATATCATTAATGACGCTGTCGGCGATTCTGAACAGAACGGTCGACTCTGGACGCACCCTAGCATGGTCTTGAGTACGACTGAAGCAAAAGAAGAACGACACAATACGACAAAATGGATCGAATAGATGGATTTGGGTTTGTCGACAACAGAGGTATGGTTCGCGTACACATACTGGAAAAGGAACGTGGATTGTGGCAGATGCCCGCATTACTGGGTGGTTCCGTCTGAATTCAAACAAGCTTGTCAAACAGGGTCTCCGAATTTGCGTAAAAAAAGACACGCGTGATTCCCCTCTCCCCCCCTCCCCTCCACATAATAAAAACGGTAAAATACATGTCCGACAAGCAGTTGTAAGACTGATTTATACATTTTTTTGTTACCATTAGGTTTTGTGGTCACCATCAAGTATGCATAATACAAAGGGGATGGATGGCACAACAAGGCACGCTACCAATCCAGATCCCATCTTAAGCTCGGAGCCTCACCGTTCTTCCTCCCAGTCGTGCGCCTTCTTGGTCTCGTTAGGCTTGATGCAGCGGATGTAGTGGGGTGTACACTTCATCAGGGCCTCCACCAGCTTGTTAGCCTGGCTCTGTCGAAAAAAAAACAAAAAAAACCTTCAAACATTTGCGCGATACCTATGGAGTCTGGAGCGTGTTTCCGAACGGCGTTTCTACCAAGCACCCATATCTCGTCCCTCCGTTTCTGCCCAACGACATCGCACAAACGTTGCCCTTCCCAATCTTGGCAGCGACGCAACAGTGGAGGCGAAAATGCCCGTTCTGCTGTGGCTCGCTGTCGGCACAACGGTCGCTTCAGCAGCAACGAGCTGGGATGCCACGACGAGGGTCGCAGCATCCTACAACGTGACAGGCTGGCTCCTGCGACGTCAATCGTTGCCACTTCGGGTCTACTTTTGGAGTATGGACAGTATAGGACACTATACGCACCGGTCAAAGGTGCATTTCAGGTAGCTAAACCCTGCAACAACGCCTGAGGTGCTAAAAAGGCCCCCCCACCGAGACAAAGTCACCACCTTAATTTTGGAGCCTGCAGTGGTTGGTCGGCCTTTTACGGTTCCCGAGACGTCTTCCGGGAAGAGGCTTACGATGAAGGGACTGCAATGAAAAAAGCAGATTAGATGTGGAAAGTGGCTAATGGAACATTTATCTATTCAGTTTCGAAGTCCTTCCGTGACATGGTTGTCAACAAGTAATCAAAACCACGGAGAAAGCAAATCGGCAAGAGACTCATTTTGGAGATGATTCAACCCAAAGCACTCTAATACTAATAGAAATTTTCCTGGTCATTGTGAGGCACTAAACATAGGGCAAGGTAGCTTGGCTGGATCATGCTTTGCTTGGAAGCGAGCATAGCACAAAAGCAGCAAAAGATGCAATATGAGAAAGCAAAACAAATTCAGATTTATACATGGAAACTACATATCTCGGGGAAGACTGCATCGTGGTAGTAACTACTCGATAGCTTGCCCCCTGTCCAGCTTTTTGGTAATATAACCCAAGTACTATCACATGAGATAGGATCTATTAATATACTGGGTAGCTAGCGGTGATCCTAATTGAGCCTAGGTGGGTTGCCCACTTGCCACTGCACTCTCTGTCGGCACACATAGTTCTGCAGATGTCTTCGGATGACCTAACATTCCATGGATGTCTTATATGATGCGCATAGGATATCTGTGCCACTTGGGGTGTCGGGGTATATATACATGTTTTTGCCCGTACTTGGTGCTGCTCTGCATCACGAGAACCACGTCCGCGAAGAGGACGTCCCTGTTCTTCTCACACATGCCCTGCGCGTCGTAGCCCACCTTGCCCGCGTAGTGGTGAACGACAAATCCCGAGCTGCCGGTCACCTGGAAGTGCGGGTGGCTGCCAACCTGGGAAAACAAGGAGGGGGTTACAGAATTATAAAATCATCAAATTGCAGAGAGAGCAAATTGACTTAGCAGGGCGAAGGGAGGAGTCATACTTTTGGTTTTTAGTTTCTAGGCTAGGTGGCACAAGCTACCGCCTGACAAAGGGTACAACGGTTAGCATCCATCGATCGATCCATCCGTCGTTTGGGTAAAAAAAAAATAGAGCAAATAGGACATAGAAAAGCAAGTAATACAAGAGGTTCTTGACCACAGTTCTACCCTTCCAGAATTTTCGGGTCAGTATGAGAAGGATCAACCGACTGCTGATGAAGCAAATCACAAATATTGCGAGAATGTTTTGCAAGTTTTTCATTCAAGCAAATGCTTAACATAAATTGCCATCTCAGTACAGGAATGACAAGGCCCATTGAGTTCCACATATTCTCTCTGTTGACAAGTGTCTTCTTAACCCTATTCATGTCGAGAATTTTATGTAAACGGTTTACATGATATCAATTACTGAACCTTGGGCTTACCCCTAATTTAATGGAAATATAATGATCCATACATTAAAAACCACAATGTTTTGGAAACAAGGCAGTCTAGAGTATGTTCCCCCCTTTCAATATACACCCATGAAACTTTGATGACCGATCTTTCACAGTCGGGTGTTCCTTTGGGACCAAATGCACCAATCCACGGCCAGAGAATGAACTGCCCCTAACACAGAGAACAGCAAAACATCCCAGGCTGGAAGCCCCCGAAATTCGGACACCTCCAAAGTTGGCAATACGTGTAGCCACCTTTTAGCTCGGCCGATGCCCTCCCATTTTTGGAAGCTTGAAATGTGCTCTGTCGACATCTTCCAGACATTTCAAAGACCTCTCAAGATGTCTTGTAAAGAAGGTCTACAGGACATCTTGCAAGATGTTGTGTAGCCCAGAAATAAGGGCATGCTGCTGCCCTGGAAGATGGCTGGAAATATTTCCAGACGTCGGAAGCTGCGTAACGTCTTCCCAAGATGTTTATAAGGCATCTCGCACAACTTGCCAAAACATCTCACGAAGCCTGCCCTGTCTATTCAAGTGCACGACATGAGTACTCGAGCTGGGGAGGTTTCAGAGTGACACTATGCTTTCAGCCCTAAGATATATATGCACAATGAATCAAGCAAGGAAACACAAAGTATACTGATTTGGAAGTATGGACTCTAGGCACCACCATCTTGCTGCTCGTCTGTAAACTCTCTGATAGTCAAGCCTGAATGGATGCTGAATGGATGAATGCTAATGGCTGTACACTTTATAATGAGCGGTAGCTTGCATCACCTAACCTAAAAAACAAAAAAAACAAAAGTATGATTCCTTCCCTCATCCTTCTAAGCCAATTTGATCCCACTCTGCATTTTTGTGACTATCACAAGACAGTATTGGATATCGCCAGGATGACCTTTAAAGGATTGGGGCAAAAAAACAAAAATTACCCCTGCCCCCTTCTCCCTCTGGCGAGGGGTCGCCGATTTTCCTCTGGTCAAACAAACCTAGAGTCACTGTATGTTGCCAGAGTATCGCGTTCGATAGCATCCACTGAGATTACTATTTTAGTTTAGATCGGCCATTTTAGCACCGAGACATATACGGTGAAAGGGTGGGGGGGGGGGGGGGGGGGGGGGGTGCCAGTTCCCTTTCCCCAAGCGGACGCGCCGCGAATTATCACCAAAGTTAGAACGCACCTAGGTCGGGACGTGCTACCTGAAATCACCGGTGCGACATGGTTGTATAAAAACAATATTAATTGTGCCACAAAACCTTATAAACTAAAATTTTATAAAAACATCACGCTTCTGTGATTTTGCACTAATCTCCAAGAAAAGTACCTACAAAAAGAGCCTTTTCTGTTTGGTTTTACGCAAAAACTTGCTTTCTAAACACTGACAAGAAACGCTTACAGAACTTTCGCGTGTAAAAAGTCTGTTGGAAATTCCAACGCCTGTTACAATAAAAGTAATGGTGACCACAGTAAAAAAAAAAAAAAAAGATTGAGCTGCCATCTTGGCACTATCGGGCCTGGGTGTTTTGAAGAACCCACACAGTGACTCTAGTCAAACTTGCAGTGATGTGATTGGCCTAAGCCATTTTGGAGCACCTTTTGGAGCAGCAAGAACAGTGTTTTGGAGCAGCAAAAGTGGCCTTTGGAGCAGCCGGAACAGTGTTTTGGAGCAGCAAAAGTGGCTTTTGGAGCAGATATTCTTAGAAAAATAAAAATATTAGTTTCAATTGCTGGACAAACGAAGGGAACTTAGTGATGTGTTGTGACAGAACTCGCTGTTTGTGTTTTACTGCTGAGACATCCCACAAGTGTACAGTGTTATAGGCATTGCCGAGCAATTCCGAAAAGAACGCTTGCCACCGTTTTACTGGTTCCCGACGTGCCGGATTTTCGTCAAAAGTAAACAAACGCAAAACAATGAATTGCAAGCGTCCCGGCCGGCGCCTCTGTCATGCAGTCATGTTCACATGTACGTGAGGGCAACTTCAGCAGGCTTGCAGTGGCACGCTCTTCGTTGCGCGAGCGGAGAAAGCGGCTGTTTAATCGAAACCGAAACAATGCCGGTCCCCTCCGTCGCCAAATGGTTCCCAAAATACTGTGCAAAATGTAACTGTCCAGCATACAAGAAAAAAGCAGTCGAGCAACCTGTGCTTACCAGGCCGGCAGGCGATGTACAATCAGCACGGAATGAAACCCGAACGCCGGAACACGTGGCCATCGATACAGGCTGCTCCACCTAAAGGGCCCCTGAGAACTAATGAATATGCACCTGGGTGCGAGGGTGCGGGACCTACTAAGATATCCTCAGCCCTCGCGCTGGGCGTCTGGGACTTTCGCGTTTCACCAGTGGCGCGCTGTAACCGCCGTCATTCGGGGTGCTCTTCTGTCGCCGCACTGTCGCCCGGTCGACACCGGGCGGCCGCTTAACCTGGCTATAGCTGTTAGCGATAGGCCCTGCTCAGAGAGGGTAATGAATTTATTCCACTCCGGAATTGATACGCCTGGCATGTCGGTGGTTACCGAAGAGAGCCTCAGCGAGCAATTTCTCGATTTTTTTAAGAATCGACTGATAACCTCGCACGAAAAAATTAGCATTGCTCATAAAACCGAGGCATCCGCGTCGGTCTGTTGCAGCATTTTTTTTTATAAAGAATATGGGTGTGCGAATAAACAAAATTTATTTTGCGTTTATGACGTTTCACTATTTCTCAGAAACCGCGCGTGACACGTTTCCGGTGACACGTCATCGAGCACTACGGGTCTTCTGTGCACGAAATGTTTTAACTTTAATTTTGCCCTTGCGATACGCAAAGTGATAATGAATGACAGTGCTGAAGAGATATCGCTGGGAATCCGATACACAAAGCGAGCGAAAGTGCTTTTTGTATCGAATGTGACGGCACTTACAGTGCGCCACTGGCGAAGTGCGGAACTCCCAGACGTGCCGCGCGATGGTCGAGCTCATCTTAGTAGGCCGCGCACTCTCGAACCCCGGTGCATTTCCATTAGTTCTCAGGGGCCCTCCAGGTGGAGCAGCCTGTATTAGCGGTCACGCGTTCCTGCGTTCGGGTTTCATTTCGTGCTGATTGTACAAGCTAAACACACAGGAAAAAAAAATGAAAGCCATTTACAAATCCCTGTAACGCCGAATTGGAGCGCAGCTCTTGAGGAGGAGTAGGGAAGGGTACTGAGGGGGGTCACGTCACCTGCGGGTAGCCACGTGACCCCTGGGGGGTCACGTGATCTCGGGGGAGGAGGGGTCACGTGACCTCAAGGGGGGGGGGGGGGGGGGGGCACGTGACCCCCCCCCCCCCCCCCCCCCCCCCTGGTTACGCCGACGCCGCTCAGGCTGGAAACGGGCCCCTAAGAGCTGCGCTCTAAAACAACCTGAGTGCATCAATGCATGACATCGCGAGCCAGGGTCAAAAAGTTCTTGGAGCGCTTCGTGCAACGTCCAAACTCGAGGCAAACAAGCGTGCTGTGAGGGTTCAACGTGCAGACATGGCCTTCTTTGGATTAGCTCACTTCTCTTCACCGACTTTCTTTCGTGGCAGATTCTTCACGTGCTGGGCTCCCTCTTGAAAGGAAGTCCACCGAGAGAAACCTCGGTAATCAATATTTTGACAAGCAGTCTTTGAGTTAGAGGGTTTTTTGTAGTAGAGTATGATTTAAAGAAGGCCAGGAATGTCGACAAACAAGTTCAGAAAGCGCCATATCTGCAGCGACGTGGGGACGGCAACACCTGACGTCGTGCGACAACTGTGACAGTGGTCGCGCGAGCATTTCAGCTCACAAAGTAACTCTCGCCACACAAAAACGTGGTTTTGTTTCACAGCATGACGGCGCGGCTGGCACCCGGCACACTAGTGTCGGGGCGTCCGCACACGCCCGCGTCTATCGTTGAAAAAATTTAAAAAAGACACAAGACGAGAGTTTTGATACGACGATAGACGGGGGCACGAAACGCGAGACGGTGGCAAGGAGGTTAAGACGGCGGGAATAAAAAAACATGCAAGACCGGATGGACGATTGATGCAGGGTACTTTGTGTCGGATGGTCGCTTGCGCCACCTAGCTGATGCATGCGTAATTACGGTTCTCAGCTTAGTTTCGGTTTTGAAAGGCGACTGAAATTGCTCCTTTGGCGCAGGCTTGGCGCAGATTACCTACATTTTGGCAAAATGCAGCAGGATGTAGCAGGTTTAGCCCCCTAGTGCAGTTTGGCACAATCGGCGCAGCAATCACATCACTGAACTTAGTAGGCACTACCCCAAAACCGTGCCCACTGGGAGACAGGGTTTAGACTTTTGGGCCGGGGCCAAGCGGGAGGGAGTCCCACTTTTCCTCCGTCTTGCCTGTCCCCAGCTATGGTGGTTAGTTGTATGTCATTCAATTTTCCTCAGATAATTTCTACCAGGCTCGTAACCTCCCGTAATCCTTTTCTCCTCTATTTTTCCACCCTGGCAACCGTGGGTACAACTCGCTAAGGCATACCCGCGGTTGCCGGACTGGTACCCCAGCAAAGCGTATTTTGCCCAAAGTAGCCAGACTTGATCTTGAAGCATGGCTACGCTTGCAAACGTTTACAGACGCTAAAAGCCCCAGATCTCCTTCTCCAACTGGCCTGCTCCACTTTACCGTGCTTTAATACGATTGGCTGTCGTGTGTTCGTACCTGATGGGACAGCTTCTGGCATAGCTGTGCGTCGACGCCTTCTCCCGTGGCATGCATGGTGGCACAGACATCGTCCAATACGGAGAAGACGCCGGGGGGCGCCTTGCTCTCTATGAGGTCACACACCACCTTGTTGTTGAAGTAGTCGATGGGGGTCCAGCGAATGCCCTCTTGCACGTATTCTTCCTGCAACGAAGCAGACACGTCAGGACGCCCACACCCTACCTCATGTAACATGACCCGAAGCACACATGGCAAGTAAATGAATAGCATCAACAATTGGGATGTTGGAGGATTTCTTTTAGCTTTATCCTATACAGCAAAAAACAGCAATAAATGTCTGCCAAGTAACAATGAGACAAAATTCAGCACCAAGATTTCAAGTTACCACTCTGCACATATTTTTATCATATTCCTAGTATCTTGCGTATGAGTACAACTATATGCTCGGCATCAATCATTTGTGCTACGTTGTCAATGCTGGCGTAGGTTTTGCAGTGCTCCTATGCTGTCCAAGCTACTTGTGTGAGCACATGGCTTTGTTTTGCATCTCCTTCACATGAGAGCACGGACCAATGGGACACAAGACGAAGTGACATGTTTTCGCAGCAGTGCTGAGCTGCAGCACTGTGTAAGCAATGCTAACCTTGACAATGTAGCAAAAAATAGTTGGTACTACGCATAAAGAGGAGGTTTTAATGCAGACACTGGTCATAGCAGAGTTAAATTTTTTTAGCATATATTATATAAGGAAAGCTCAAACAACCGAGCGAAGGAAAATGCATTTCTTACAAATTTTATATTGCATGCTCACACTCGCTCAAAGTTACGGCAGTACAGAATAAACAGCGATAAAGGCCAATAATAAATTAATAAAGTAAACACCTCTTTATGACGCTCAAAGCTAGATGCTCTATAGTCAAGCTTCTGTTCCTGGTGCAGAAGTTAAAGGCCGCCGTACAATTCGCGCTTTCCACTTTTTCTGCGTTTCCTCCTCTCCTGCCCTCCTTTCCTTCCTTCACCGCCCTCCCTCACCTGTTTACCGCCCTCCCCCGAGGGGACAACATGGAGAATGGATTAGGAGACGCCTCCGTTAATCCGGCTTAACCCGCCGAAGAGGGAACCTGCTGCTTGACTAAAAATTATTTCGCTGCTCAAAAATAAAAAAAAAAAAAAAAAAAACGCCGCGGGCAGCGACCGTATACGCTTTGCCGGATGCGCAACGCTCCGTCCGCCTTGAACAAGCTTGTATGCATTGGACTAACATTTTTTGAACTGCGGCAGGTTTAGTGTAGGTCCTATCATATGGTCCTGCAAGACTTCCCTGTCCGCCACAAGCTAGCCAATAATTCCAGAACATAACGACGGCAGCGTAGTCAAACAGTGTAAAATAAAATGTATATAATATTTCTAAGAGCACCGTTGTCTTCACTGCTTGGCTTTCAAATTCTTAGCGCTGCCAATAATCGTAACCAAACTATTTTTATGATTGAAAACAACTCGTCGTGCATCGACCCCAAGATTACGCTTACGTGAAACATGATTCGGCGCGGGAGCGACTCGAGTCACCGTAAACATTTTTTTTTTTTTTTTTCAACGTGGATTTTGCTTTTTTAATTTAGCTGAGGCACCACTGGCAGAACACGAATCGCATACTTGGAAGGTATATACCGTCTGAAAACTCGTATAGCTGGTTCAGTGAATGCAATACTATCGCATTCGTTGAAGCTTGATTTGTTGATTCGAACTTCAACAAATCACACGCACCCATTCTCCCTATTCCTGTTTACCCAGTCGTAGTCGTTCCCTCACGATGCAATACGAGTACAAGTAACTGCAGTTTATGCATTGTTGACGTTAATTGGACAGCCGTGATCACACGGTTTTTAGAAGCGCTATAGAACGAGCACAAGCGTCGAATTCCGGTACACTGATTCATTTCTGTCTCACCGCCGTGACGCCACACGAGAAAAGCGATTTCGTTCTGTCTGTGAAATTAAGAACACAAAAATCAAGCTATAATCCCGGTAATAAAACAAAGCGAAATGGATCTCTGCAGCCAATACCCAACCGTTTGCGAGGTGACTAGGCAAAAGCACATATTACCTCCGTGCCTTTACCCTCTGCACACTGCCAGAGAGAGTCATACAAACTCCTTGGAGCTATTGTCAACACGATTGCGTTTGCAAGCCTCTAGTTTGACTCGGCTGGGATTCGTCCCTTTCATAGCTCTCTATGAAACGACAAAGGTAGATACTTTTTTTCATTGGGTGGGTTTGCCTGGGGCCTCCAGTTATTTACGGCCAAAATCACACTGGAGGCGCTTCAGCAATGTTCACTCTGGTCGACACACGTGCACACTAAAAATGCCAGTCGTCTGCCTTCCCAAAAGATACTTGAAGAGCCAATCATAGAGACCGACGGATAACGAGGCCGAAATTATGCTTATACCTCGAAAAATTATAACACAAATTTGGCCTCGTCCTTCCCAAACTGGTTGCCGGACGAAATTCTCTATGCGTATTGTAAGCCAGGGTTGGTAATAGTAACATAAGATACGTACGGCAGAATTCCCTGCCATAAATAAAATGATTTGGCTAACGCTAATGTAACGCGAAATAGGCGCAAAGAGTTTTGCAAAAGGGAGCGTAAACCGAAAAAAGGAAAAAAAAAGACAGAAGAAAAGGAGAAGTAATAATAATAAAAAAAATCTCTGGCGACGTGGCCACAAAAAAAAATTCTGTTCCTCTGATTTTTATTGTCACGTGACCGAACAAAAAAAAAAATAAACGAAATAAAAAAAGAACAAGAGAAAAAATCATCTCCTGCCCGGTTTCGAAGCTAGGCCCTCTTGATCGTGAAACTAGCGCGCTATTCGTTGCGCCTAGTTGCGCCGACATAACTTTTTTTTTCTTTCTTTATTGCAAGTTGCGCCAACATAACTCTGCCTGTAATGCTCGCGCATTTTCACTTCATAGGAGAAAGCTTAGGTGCCTTCGTAGTTTTTCATGTATGTGTTATTTTTATTTGTGGCAAGAGTTCACGTTCCAGAATGCTTTTAGAGTTTTGGAGCAAAACGAGTTTTCTTCATCCGAGTCACCTTCTAGAGCCAGTAGACCGCACTGGGTCGTCCAGCTAATCAAACAGCTATTTTCAAATTCTCTGACGTGCCCGTCCTCGCATCCGAGGTCGCCGTTTGACAAGCTTATCTTCCACCCGGTAGCCGGAACCCCCACGGCAGCTTTGTTCCGTCCCCACTCCCTCGCGAGAGGATGGCCTCGCCCCGAGGCTAATCCCCTTCTCTAGACACCCTTTCCACCCAACGCTGGCCCTTTCCCTCCCTGTCTCCAGCTTCGGGAGAGAAGGTTCTTCCCTGCAGAACGTCCCGTTTGTACAGCGGCCTTTAACACAATCCAATTTAACACCTTGAGATAAAGGTAAACAAAACAAAAAACTGCATGAAACGTCTTTGAAAACAGGTATGCTCTTATTTTCAAAATATCTGTTTTATAGGTTTACAATCCTTCCTACTTTAAGCATCCATTTTGGCTGAAAATAGTACAGCGCAACATATATTTTGGGGTGTTCAGTTTCAATGCGTAGCACCGGAACATGACAACAGAAGACATCATTGGGAGTTGCTTAGTGAATGGATAGAATCTTTTAGGTTAAAAGTTCTAGATGACATTTATAACAGTGAACTAATAATAAATAGGGATATGTTTTTACAGGAATCGTTTTATATATCTGGAAGAGCGGACCAGCCGAGCAAAATCTGACGGTACTCCTGTCACGCTGATGAGTATGCTTTTTCTTTTTTCTTGAGAACTATTGAAGAGTGAAAAAGGCTGCCAAAGATATTTTTCACAAATTTTCAAAATAGTTATCCGGCATATCTTTGATGGATTTATTTTACTAGCTGTTTTTGATAGTGCCTTTTATACTCCAGTTGTCTGATAAATGGAGGCCTCTTTATACTACTTGTACCGACAGATATATTTTTCTTAAATTCCAGTCATGTTTTTATGAATACTTCTTTATGCACTAGATTTTATGAATCTATACTAGTTGTGACTGATATATTTTATTATACATTTATTGCAGCAATGTTTTAAGAATGCTCTGTAAAACGCACCCTTTGTTAAAATGCCTCTTAGCCAATGCAAGTTTCTTTGTAAATAAATAAATACCACATAGAGCCAAAAAGACCTCCACAAAGTTACCTGCTCAGCCTTGAGCGTCAGTTCAATGAAGATCTGTTGCAGTTTCTCGTTCACGTAATTGATGCAGAACTGCTCAAAGCCATTCTGCTGGAAGATCTCGAACCCGTAGATGTCAAGAATGCCAATGCTGAGTTCTCCAGCATCTGTATGCATGGCATTGTTGATGATCTGAAGAGAGAAAGAAGCGAGAAAAGAAGTCATGCCCTATATTCTTTTAAAAGTGTTACAAGGCCGATTTCGATGATATTAGCGTAACATTACGTACAAGAGCAACGAACGACCGTCGCAAGGCAGATAAATTTAGCAAGTCCCACTAAACTAATTATAATTAATTAATAATAATAAACGATTGTTTATAAGGGTAAGTAAGAAATACATGGGTCCTTTTGCCGCACATTCCGAGCCTCTTGACGTTATTCGAGGGATAAGGGCACAATTTTCTTTGTTATTATGAACACAGACAGAAGTTATATTCACTCCCAAGAATTGTCAGAATTCAAATGTTGCCATTCAGGTAACAATGACAAGTGTACATATTAATCAGTTTTCTGATGGTCTGATAGAAGGATTAAAATAATTTCAGATACTTTAGTTACTAAGTCAAATGAGCTCAGCGAAAAGAGGCATATTATTTCTATATTTGTGTAATTCCAGATATTTGATCAAATGCTGTTCAATAATGTGTCTGGTAACCCCTATGTATAAATTATAGGTACCCAGTGTCTATTCTCCCGCGCAGCATAATTTCCCCAAAATTCTACCGGCAGTCACCTCCCATTGGCGGTGGCATCAGTTCATTGAACGACGTTTATAGAGAGATTGCTTCAACAACCACAATGTTTAATTGACAATTTATTTCATTGACAGCTCTGGTTAGCTTTTTTTTTCTGTAATGCGCTGCTGCGGACTTTTGCCACAAAGCGGCATGAATGGGTGGGTCGGGCAGGTTTAAACGCACCCCAGTGATACACGCGCGACGAAATGTCTATACAGAGTGCAATTCATGTAATGTGTGTCCATGAAACGAGTATCCACAAAAAGTTGCCCATGAAACGTGTTCCACAAAATGCCGGGAGAATAAGAAGGTCAGTTTTCTACCGGAAGTTGTCACATGATTTCAGACAGCCAATGGGAGGCGATTGCCGGTAGAATTTTGGGGAATTATTCTCCCGGCTGCAGGGAGAATAGACACTGTCTGTAAATTACATAGATTACACTAAGAACACTGAAATAATTTTATCTGTGTGCCAGCCCATACGTTTGAGAAAATAGCACTGAATGAATATCACCCCTCACGTATAACAGAAATTGCACCACAAACGTTGAAATAATTTTGATGAGTCAGACAGATGAGCTCGCAGAAAAGAATGACATTAATTTCAAGAAACGGAACTGAAACTACTTATCACAGGGGCGTCAGACGCATGGCGCGCGCCTTTCGCACTTTCCTGAGTGAGAAATATGCGAGAGCTCAGCAGTGGAGATTAGAGCATCATATAGCTTCTACGGAGCAGAGTAACGCTATCCTTTGATCCGCGTGTTCTGCAGACAACATGGCCGAAAGAGCAGCTTGGCACGAGTCAGGTAATACTCAGGTTCCAGGAGGCGGCCAGCCCTTTGGGAGAACACATGAAGATTGATGCAACACGGCTGATTAAAAAATTACGCCGAGTTCACACTTTTCGGAACAAGTCTGTCGTGAAATTGGTAAAGCACTAAACACTTCGTCAAAGTTTCCATAATTTTGAATGCGTGTGAAAATTTTGAGAAGGCAATTTCCAAGGTAGTGGCGTTTGAAGCAGACAGCTATTTTACGCAGCGGAGATGAGCTTTATGGAGTTGGCCGGAGCAAACATGTGAACGGTGCGACTCTGCCACATCGTCTGCTGCAGAATGCCGCTCAGGCAATTTTCAAAAAAAATTATGTTCTTACATGGCACACAACTTAGTGCAAATTATTGTAAACCGCTCCTTGATTATGTAAAAAACTATTGTCGTTCCTTACATCCCCAAAATATTAAAGAAACAATGTCTCACATTCCCCATGCATTTGTGACCAGAGTTGGAACCTCCGGGCGTTCACCGCTAGTCGCCGAGAAATGGTGTTCTGGATTGCGCCCTTCATCTAGTCAGTGCGTAAGAATGACACGGCGGAAGCATAAAAATAATTACTGGAGACGACGTTTGTTTCTACGCTGCCGACGGGAACAAAGCAGTGATAGCAGACAACAGAGTCGAAACGAACTCCTCTCATGAGCTTCTCTGCGTTGTCTCTACGCAGCGTCGATTTCACTGGAGTCGCCAATATAGTGATCTAGCGAAGATTGCAGGAACTGCTAAAGAGAAAACTATTTGGCAAAATTAAACGAAATTTTGAGGTTTTACGTGCCAAACTAAAGGTCTGCTTCTGCTACAGCGCACACTCCAGCGATGGGCTGAGGATTGACGTTTAGAGGGTTTAGACCGCTAGTCACATTGTACTTAAAGTACTACTTCAAGTAGGTTTAGGAAACTTGTACTTTACTTGAAGTACATTCTCTGAGTATGTACTTGGTACTTTACTTAAAGTATTTTTTTCTGGTACTTTCCGAGGAAAGTACAATTCCCGACTTCAAAGTACATTCCCAAATTTGGTCTCGTTAATTTTGTATCACGAAATGATGTTTTGTCTACTGCGAAGAAATACTGGAAGGGATATTCTACTCTTAGCAGAGACGTGAGCAGACGACACGTCGCTCCGCTTGTTCTGGGAGCGGCTTTCCAGTAGCTTTTTGAACTCTCGCTACTTCTTGGTTGGTCGGCGCAAACGAGGAGGTTTAAAATATTATGAGAACAAAATTTATGATAATCTAGCACTTAAAACGGTGGTGCGGGACAAATACACTTTCATGCCGAAGAAAAAGACAACAGAGGAGAACGTCATAATGTTTTGAGACATTTTCTTTTGTCTTTTCCTTCGACTTGAAAGTTCCTTAATTTTTTCGCACCCCAATCTGAGGTGTCACATTATGATTAATTATCACCAGCTCGCTTTCACATTAACTTTTTTTTTTTTTTCATTAAAAAGAGGAAACTCCTTTATGAGAGGATTGCTTGCGGAAGCTACGAAGCTGACGTCATGCTTCTCCTAGTACATTTAATCCCCCTGGGTGCAACAATCCTGTGCGAGCGGCGCCAAATTCAGAATTTGGCTCCATTGCTGAAAATAACTACTCTGTGGCCAGTTGACTTTATCAAATATTCGCCGCCATTTTTAAAAAAATAGGTCATGCACCCCTGATTACCCCTGGGCAATGCATAGCAGTTAAAAAATCACTGTATAGGGGAATTAAAGGTCATAATGAAAGAATGTATTAAAATACATGTACTTAATACAATGGATTTATAGAACTTTACTTCTAGTACATTGCACCCAGTGTACTTACTACTTTACTTAAAGTACATCACGTCTCATTTACTTTGTACTTTACTTGAAGTACCTTTTAGATGTACTTTACCCAACACTGCCGCTAGCGGTTTTTCAATGTGCAATCGGCGCTGTGGTAACGCTTTTCTTTTCCGCTACGGTATCCCTGAAGAAACGCCGCAGTTGCGTATGCCATAGCCTCCTCTATACGGAGAAAGCCTGGCACATCGACGACGGAGCCATAGAGCGCGCGGCCGCAGGAAAAAGGAGAGGAGGAGCGCGCCGAACGGTGGCCAATATGGTAGCGCAGAGCAGAAAGGGCAGACTTAGACTGCGAGCGCTTGGGTCATGAGCGGCCGCTCCCCGAACCACGCTTGTTTTTGTGTTTTTGTCACCGTCGTTCTCGTACTCCGGGAGAAACGGGCGCGGCGATTCGAAAGGGCGCAGGGAGAAACGGGAAAGGGTGGACGTTGAGTTTCTCCTCTCCACGATAGCGACAGGAAAAAAAAAAAAAAAAAAAAAAAAGATTGTTTCTGCGTTTGGCCGCTCGCTCTTTTGTGGCGCTAGCGGAGAAGGTTCTCTCCGCTCCCGTTTCTCCGCCCCTCCTTTCCCATTTACGGCGGCCGTCTTTTCACGCGACGCGCCAGGCTTTCTCCGTATAGTGGAGGCTATGCGTATGCGCACCGCCAGCCTTGTCTGCGTAGTTCAAGGTCTTGTGGCGGATTACGGAGCGCTATCCGGGTGCTTAGCGGGCTGCGGAAACGGTCTACTGCGATTCCCCATTGGCGACTTACTTTCCGTAACAGGCCGTAAAGGACATGCTCGGCAGGAGGGTCCTATCTAATCTCCTGGGGCGGAATTCTGTTTTCAAAGCGTCAGGTTTCTGCTAATCTGGTTTATCTTACTGTTCAAAAGTTCCCCAGAAGATCCTAAACAATCCCAAAAACCTCTAGATTGGATTGGATTGGATCGTTATACTTGGCTCGCCAGTTGATTGTGAGTGCCAGAAATAAAGCAACTATTTTAATATAATTAATATATATATAAATAAAGCCATAAATATGCTTTCGTATGGTTTTATTAAAAAACCACGCCATAATCTCAATTAACGTAAAATTGCGAAAGAGAGCCAACGATATGTGTGATCACTAGCGCCAGTCAGCGTCTGACGTTGAAAAGAAATCCTTCTCAGTGCCACGCCTTACTGGCCGAAAGCCTGACGTTCAGACAAAATGGCAAGAGCGCGCGCAAACTCAGCAGCGTTCTGCTAGCGCTCGTAGCTTTTCCTAATTTATTTTTGCTTGGATCAAATAATCCACGCGGCAAATGTGATGTGGTGTCTACGGAGGAAGACGGGGGAAACCTTCTTCCAACTTTTGTGCGGTGAAGAATACACCGTCGGCCGCAAAGACGTCCAAATCATCGTCGACGGCGACGCATCCGTGAGTCGATCGCACGCATTGCTAACAGTTTCAACAGTGCCACACAATCGAATCGACGACGTATCGTTTGTACCCCTGCTTCGACTTAAAGACTTGGGTTCCAAGTACGGCACGAGGCTTAACAATGTCCGTCTTACTGCCAACGAGGAGAACGTCGTGCAAAACGGTGACACCGTCACTTTCGGTCAGCTCGGAAGCTCTTTCACCGTTCACTACCAGCCTCCGATGGTCATCACTTCGTCCTGTCTCCAACCCGACGAAAAAGAAAAGCTTAAGGAGTCGGCTGCGAAGCTTGGGGGTCGCGTCATGCCCGAGTGGAGCGACGCTTGCACCCATCTCGTGATGAGTTCGATTCGACTCACGGTGAAGACGACGAGCGCGCTCGTCGCCGCTAAACCCGTCGTGAAACCGACGTTTTTATACGACACCGTCAGTCGCTTACGTTCCAAGAACTGGATGGACTTAAATCCCTCAGACTACATCCCCGATATCTCGGAAGAGAACCTCACCGTCCCCAAGGCGGAGCTCGATCAAAACCCAGCGAGAAAGACACTCTTCTCTGGAAAGGTCTTTTACTTTCTTGACAAATCACAGCACGCCAAGCTTGCTCCTTTGCTTGTATCCGGCGGAGGCCGCGTTGAGTTGGCGAAGGACCCAAACAAGCCTCGACCGGTATATTTGGAAGAGAACAGTTGCGTCTTCAAGCCGTCCCACGGCATTCCGGACCACCCGGTGTGCAAGTTCTTGACGAAGAACAAGCTCAGGGCAATCCCGGAGTCTGACGTTGCACTGTCGGTGGCCCACTGCTCCACTCAGAAGCACTGCAACCCGCGTTCCACTGCGGTCGTGGCTTTTTGGGGAAACAGCCACACGCTGTCTTCGCAGTCGCAAGCCTTCTCGCCGGGAGAGGTCTACGTGCCGAACACAGAAGATGACTCCGAGGTTGATTGTCGGGGTAAGAAAGTCGTGCTGACCGCGGGGACTATTCCAGAAAGCCGGCAGCTGTCCACGACTCCGGCCGCTAGCCGGCCCAGAGACGTTCCGAGTGCAAGCACCCTAGCAACCACACTAAACGGCGGTCACCAAAATACTCTCGCCGCGACCAGTGAAGAGCCGTCCTTGAAGATAACATTGACCGACCCGAATTCCGAGTCTCCGAGCCAAAAGTCACCTTCACGGCTGTCTCTGAGTCAGAAGCGGTCCTCTAGACTGTTAAGGTCATCTTCAAAGTCACCTTCACGGTCACCCACCGAACCGCTTTCGGGGCACGGCTTGAGGTCAGCTCGACGGCTACGGATAGCTTCAGACTCCCCTCCAAAGCCGTGTCCCGGGTCACCGTTGCAGAGTTCGAGCGTCGTCTCCACCTCTCCGGCCACGGAGCGGACCGTCCTTTGCGTCTCGAGACCATCCAGAAGCAAAACTTCAAATACCTTGACAAGCTCGACTTCAAAAACTGCTTGCAGGGTGACTGTAAAGTCCCCTTCAAGGTCCCCTCCCAGGTCCAATTCAAAGCTGAGTTCCAAGTCGCCTTCAAAACCATCCACAAGCAAAACATCGAACATCGCAACAAGGTCGGCTTCAAAGTCTCCTTCTAAAACAAGATCGGCTTCAAAAGCACTCTCCAAAGTGACTTCGAAGTCGCCTTCAAAGTCCCCTTCCAAGTCCCCTTCGAAAATCCGCAAGAAGGACGCAGCGGGCAGTCTTCCCTTAGAACTCTACTTCTCCCCGTGCAAGAAACGAAGAGGTGCTAACGGCACGCCCGCAGAACCGGCCGCTAAGCTGCCGAGATTAGCCGAAGCCGGAGACACCGTTCATATCAAAGCAGAAGACGACATCGAGGAGATCAAGGATGAGCCGCCTACGCCGCCTCCCGCCGAACCCGAACTGCAACTTTCAGAGGACCCCTTGGACATGGCGCCGCACGAGATGAACGGTGCCGAGGACAGCATCATGGGGTCTGGTTCAAGGTTAGAATTGGCACAGCAGATGCCGTCTTGCGAGCTCGAAGAGGCAGATTCGGCTAGAAAGGACGGATTGGATTCGGCTCTGGTTACAGCCGCAATCGTGGCCGGAGCGGACGAGCTGAGCGACGAAGCCGACGAAAGGAGCATGGTCGTTGTCGAGTTTGAGAACCTAGTCCTGGCAAATTCTTCTAGAAGGAATGAGACGGTTGCGGTGAATGCGGACAGCGGTCCCAACTTCAAGCGATTTAGAAAGGTGAACAAGGATCAACGGAGAGGACTGCCAAAGATCATCGGTGGGCCGGACCTCTTGGTTTATGTTCCAAACCAACCGGAAGAGGTTTACAGTGACGAGGATCCGGCGTCTCAGAACCACGCAGACCTTTTCAACTACAACCCACCAGATCCGAAGCGGAGACGACAGTGACTGTTTGACAGATTATCAAAAAGCGAAAGTGCCTGTAAGCCGAGCATTTATTATTTTCGTTTAATGCTGGAACCCCTAGCTTTAATTAAAGGTAATTACTTTCTACAGTCTTCTGTGTTGACTGGGGTCATGGTACTAGAGTGCAGTGGTCCTGGCTGTTATCAAAAGCATAGATCGTCTATTGTGCAATGAAGCCTCCATATTTGTCTTTTCTACGTGTTTCTTCGTGTATTGAACAAGGCTTAACAAGGCTTCGTGAAGCCTTGTTTCGTTGCGACGAGTAGTTTTCGCAGGAGCGATTTGGCCTGCGTTCTCTGAAACACCCTGTATAACGATTATAGGTCAGGTTACTCTTGCTATTGGAAGCGGGTACCATATGGAAATATTTAATGTAATACCAGTCTCTTCCAAGCATATTCTGCGGCTCAAACCTGCTCATTCAGCGAAGGCAAACATCTTGGTGAAATGTCACAATTTGTGGGATGTGCACTGACGAAGTCTGGCATAGAGTTCCTCGATATGCTCCCTCAAAGGTAGCTAGCTATATACAGGAACTCTAGCTTGGCAGATCGTCACGAGACGCAGCCGCTGAAAGTGAAAAGGTAGAGCAGCAGACAATAAATGAGAGGAGAGGAATGTAACGGGCAAGATGCCGAGACACACCTGTCGCGAGCGATGGAATGTCCGTTCGTGCTCCTCGTGTTTTTTGCACTACCGCTTCTTTTCTAACTAAGAATTAAAACCTTGAGACTACCGGTTTTTTCCTCGTCCGGCTTGAAAACCATGTTTTGGGTTCTCGCCGCTGCATAAGCTGCGCACTGACTACAGACCTGCCGAAAAATGCTCTGTGCTGCCAGATCCTGGCTCTCCAAATCTGCAACCGGGTCCTCTATGGCCTTGTCATCGAACTGCCAGGCTTTGCGAGTATAGAGGAGGCTTTGGCACTGCACACTTGTTTGGGGTATACAGTTGAGGGCTATCGTACACCCAAAACATAGATTGTTGTGTGCTTTGAAGAGCTCGTAATTGACTATGATTACTGGTATTTTAGTTACTGTGATTATTTCTCCTTCAAGTAACAATAATTTTCAAGCTAAGATAAACCTTGAGTATCTATAACTCATATTTTGAGTCTGTTATGGTTTGGGTCACTTTATGAAACTTGCACCTTTGCCTGCCAACTCTCCAAACTAGAGACAAATGTTTTTTGTTAGCTTCTTCTGTTGAAACGAAGCAGGTGTTCTGTCCTACTTACTACTAGACTAAATTACTACGAAAACCACAGTGTTTTATTTTTTCTTCTAATAAACGAGGCATTTTTTTTCATTTATCACATCTTCATCAAACCAATTGATGTTAACTGCAGATGAATTATTTATATAATAATTCTAGTATCTTCTATCAACTTGTACCGGAACTGCCCTGAAACCAGGACAGTGCACAGCGCTCCTCTGTTGTGCAGCGCGAAGTCTGTGCAGCATCGAGGACAAACTGCGCCACGCATCAACCGCCATCATGAGTCGCCTCGCGTTTTTTTCGTTTTTTCTTGCGTACGTCTGCAAGCAATGCACATCTGCTGTCAATTTCGTCTGGTTTTTTACTCGCGGATTTAGCAGTCGCACACAAACGAACATGGTGAGCATTATTGTCGATGGGGTCACGAAGCGGGTGGCGATTCTACAGGTATTTTGTTCATGGAAGAGTACCGCCAGATGATAACCGTACCTTAGGTGTCATTGAAACGCCTCGCAACACTTTCCTCGAAGTTCATAACTTTTGGGCACTCCTTGCCAACGCAGCAATCACCGGTAATCGCAGCGATGGTAAGAAGCTCATCGTTCTCGCTGTCAGAAGAGCTGAGGAATTTATTGAGTGCCCCCTGCGAGGCGTGTTCATTTTCACGAGGTCACCATCTCAATAGCCTGTGCCATCTTTTTGATTCCTGCTCGTGGCTGCAATCAGGGTTGCCAAGTGTTTGTACTCTGACCTGCCAAATTGCTATGAGATATAGCCCAAAAATAGCCAAATGTCAATCCGGAAAAATGGCCCAAAAGCAGCCAAAACCTTTACCATTTGAGACGTTTCTTTTAAACGCAGAAGTCATATTAATACATTTTTATGCGTCAAGTAGAAATATTCTCACCATTAGCATCCCTAGTTCGCAGAACCAACGTTGAAGCACGGGTACATCACAGCGGTATTAGAACGTGTCCGAAAACCTCTGAAGGAACATAGTCCTTGCAGCACTGCTCTTTGCCCCACAGTCCGAGTTTAACATACAAAACATTCTCCAGCGTATCCATCGACATCCTGTTTCGCAAGAGACCAGGGGCTGCTGGGGCCGCAAGGAATTGAGCCGTCCCTGGTTGAGATAGAGGACTAACAGCATACGCTTGCATTCGGACAAGATTTGGGGGTAAACAATTGTATAAGGTGCGCAAAGAGCAGACGAATTTGCTTGCTGTCGCATACTTATCAGGGTTAACAGACTAAAATGCCAAATGTTTACATAACTTACTCTAAAAATGCCATGTCTGAACCTATAAATCCAAGTACTTTGAGGCATTTTAGTGTGCCCAGCATGGGTCAGAAATAGCCCAATATTAGCCAAATAGCCAACTACCACTTTTTCCTGCCAACTGCAAATAAAACTAGCCCAATTTGGCTATTTAGGGTCCAACCTGGCAACCCTGGCTGCAATGCCTGATGGGACTGCACCCTGGTGCACAGTCGCTTTTCTTGGTACACATGGGGCAATGAAAAGCGGCACAGGGAGGGTGCGCTCCGTTGATCGAGGACGTCGTACGCACCGGTGCACTTGATTGAAGACCAGGGGTGTCTCCAGGAATTGAAATTAGGGAGGGGGGTGGGGGGGCATTGAGAATAGAGGAGTTCTTGCGAATTAAGGAGGTGCCTTCAGAAAAACAAGGGGGGGGGGGGGGGTATGTAGGGAAATCACTGTTGAACACGAAGGGGCGCACCTCGGTGTCCCGGTGCAGATTGATTAAGGACGCTATTAAAGAGACACAGATTGTATGCTAATGTGACATTTCTTTTTTCCGGAACATATTGATTGCACGCAATATATAAAGCAAAGCAAACTAGACGTTGAGTGTTTAGACAACATGAGATCAGTCGGCCTCCAAGATTGGTGACGCTGTTGATGCCAGTGCGGTGGGCCTCTTTCAACGTGCACAACACAATAGTGATCAGAGGGATACATACCAGTATTACGCTCACTCAGACTGAAATGGACAGGGGCAGGAATCGAACCCAGGATTCCCGGGATCTGTAGCATGCAAGCCTTCGTTTTACATGCTCCAAAGCCCAGTGCGCTAAACACTAGTCCACCAGTTCGTTGCGTTTGTGGATGCAATGAAGCGAAGCTGTTGGCAAGCTTTCAGACAAGAAGGGTCTGTCAGTGCAATTTTTAAAAGTGGATATGAATGCTTAATTTTTTACATGTAAGGGCCTATTTGGCAAAGATAGTGGTTCACCACTGCCTAGACTGTGGAGGTTTAGGCAGGTAGAAGGTTAATGGTTGAGAAAGCAACCACGTTGGGATTTGTGGAGCATTCCAGCTAGCAAAAAGTAAAAGCGTCGATATAGTAATACAGAAATTCAAGCTAAGTCGACCATGTATACAACTCCACTCTGTCCTGGCAACTGAAGCGAAAATCGGGCTCAGCAAAGCACGGCAAGCTTTGTTATATAAATTGTCACAGAGCAGAGGCACAAAATAACCACAGGAAACATATTAAATAGATCATTGTTTACTAGTTTTGCTTGTGAATTATTAGCAATCATACAGGAATATTTTACAGCAGAGCTGTTAAGGGCTAGGTTCCCCAGGATCGTATCCGTGTATGTCGACACAAACCTACCTGGACAGCTACCGCCATCTATAAGCGACGGCGGCAAGCACACAACCAGTATGGTTTCCGGCGTCGCTCGTAGATGGCGGCAACCTTTCCAGCTATAATAGAAGAATGGATAGTTGGGCTTGTTAGTGGGAATTCATCGTAGGAAACAGCGCAAAAAACAGACGACGACGAAGAAGAAGCACACAGTGTACCGAGTACAGCTCCGCTGGTCTTCCGTCTTCACGAGAGTGGAGAGGCTGAATGATTTTAGTCGGTATCTTTGTTTGTGAACATTTTACTTCATGTAAAGTAATACCGCAAACTTTAGCTGCTGCGGTTAGGCTGGACTGGATGGAGGCCTTCCCTCTATTGCATGTCTTTCACTCTCCTTTATTTGTTAAGAACATTGGGGTTTCGGAGACTGTATACATGCAAAGGTCCTCTGCTCTCTTCATCTTAACAGCAATCTGTGTTAGTTAAAAAAAAATACGCCTCTTATGTCCTTTTGTAAGGCAAACAAGGAAACAGTTTGTTCATGTTTCACATGTTATTAACATTTTTGTGACATGTTTAAGTCTATACAGGGTGTTTTTCTTAGATGGTTCAGAAAAAGAGGAACCTTCATTAGGGTTTTTGTTAGCCTGGGGTTAACTGGGAACTACAATGATGAGGCAAACATAGGTAATAAGTTAGCTAATTAAACTGTTTATTAACATAATCAATCTAAGAATACAAAATTTAAATTCATTAAATAATTACATCAATATCAAGAATAACCAAACTTTTATTTAAATAATGTGGTGGGCTCTGCTTTTGCGCCAGCTCCGCTACCCACGTCTCCGTGCTGCAGATGGTGCGGTTAGTACGACTCAAGTGGCGAGTGAAGGGATCGACGTCACGGGAGAACTTTGGCAGTTAGTTTCGGTTTCGAAGCCGCGTACGAGGCTGATATTTTCTCCCGCGCAACGCCAACTGCGAATTTTCTGATCAAACTTTTACCCTGCGGCTAGACTATAATGAGGCCGAGCATCCCATTATCCAAGCTACTATATTAGGCAAAAAAAAACTGTCCAGACGCAGCAAAACAGGCCCCCGGCACATCGCGGCACCAGAATCGCGATCGGCAACAGCATGACATTTTTATGACAGCATCATACAAAAAAACAAAAACAAAAAAACATTTTTTTTTTTTTTGGGAGGGGGGGGGGGGGGGATGCGGTAAAAACACCAGTTCGTCTAGTTGGGCTCTGGTTACCTCAACAAGGCGGTCGAAGATGCGTGTATAGAGCGCCTTGGCCCAGGCGTCCCGGATGTAGATGGCCTGTTCGACGTTTTGCTGCACCTCGATCCTCTCGGACTTGGCGCCCCACTTGGAGTCCAGCACGCGGCTGGTCAGCTTCTCCTTCAGCCTCGCCGCGTCCAGGCCCAGGAGGTACGCGGGGAACTCCAGGTCTGAAACCGGAAGGTAAAATATAAGAACCCTAAAAAAGACGAGGATATGTGAGATGCAAAACGAGGCAGAAAAAGGAATAAAAAGCAAAAGCACACCTGGCTCTGTTCAGATAAGTTCATGCACGCAAGTTCGGACTTTTCGTAATGCGAAAGCATTAATTGGCCCATGGAGCGAGCTGACGTCATCAGTTTGAAGCGCGAAAACGGCATCTAGTTTCCGCGATCGCCTTCGGTCCCATTGGCTGGCGCGAGTCGACAGTTGTTTCCACGAACGCTCACCCCATGGCGCTGCGTGTCCATCAGCGCGCCGTTAAAGGGATACTCCAACGAAATTTGAAATATTTCCGTCGTGTTCAAAAATAGGTTGAATATGATCCACAATATCCGTAAATGACAATCGCACGTTTGTATTTTGATCCTGGTGGCTGTATTTTTCGTTATAAACGGCCCACTCTGGCAAGCGCTCGGAGAAGGCCCAGCTTAGAGCACGTGACATCCAGCGCAATCTAACGTAGGTCGTCTCAAGACGAGCAAAGCTACGGGGAGGCTGACGTCGAGGGGATGGCCTAGTCGTTCCAGCCACCGAAGCGGCTGCTTTTGTACGAATTTTGAGTGACGGGTTAATCTTCTATGATCTTCTAGGGGGACAATAGCGACTTCTGCGACACACAAAAGGGATTCTCGGGAAGAGGGGAGTTCCTCCTTCCCCCCTTCTCTCGTCGTGGCCGGAGACGAGACAACCTCCGTCACTAGCTGTCAAGGTTCCTAGACGAGCATTACAAACGAGGCGTTAGCGACATCCACCAGGTGCTCTTTGCTAATCGTTTAATTCGTTTTAAAATTCCTTTTCGAGACTTTTTTAACAAGATATTGGTATGTTCCATGTGATATACTGCTCTTTTGAACACATATAGACGAAAAAATGAGCGCCGAAATTTCGTTGTAGTATCCCTTTAATACGGAGCGTCCAAGGTCACCAGGGGAGCACGCGCGCTAACCGGCGACGAAAAGTGCGCAGCAGACAAAAAAGGGAGCAAACGAGCGTCTTGCATGTTTTCGCATTCATAACTCGTGAAGTGCTTAGGTGTACCTCGAGTTTGTCTTGTTCCTTTGGTAAATTTTTGTATATATTATGTTTCAACATGTGTAGGAGACGTAACCAAAGAAGGATTTTTTAAAAAGATATTTGAAGAGAAAAACATTTTAAGTGCGCTAGAACGGCATATTCGATTTTTGAATTTTTCGTTTGTGTTATGTTTGGTGACACCTACTACGCAAGCTACAAATATCAAAAATCTCAAATATTTTGCACTCATAATGTATCATGGGAGCTATTGATATAAATATGTCTGCACATATTTATATGAATAATTTCCATGATATATTATAAGTGCAAAATATTTGAGATTGTAAAGGTTATATATTTCGGGTCAAAAATGTGCAAACATGGCTCCTTTGACATTTTGTCACTAGATCTATGCGCCTTTAAACAAATTGAACAGATACAACAATTAAACTTATGTCATGTATTGCTACTAAAACGTTCTTGCAAAAGATATATAAACAATCGGTTTATCTCAACATTTGAAATTTTCGTGTCGCTCCAAACTTGACCTAAAGTACAAAAGCTAAAGAAATTCGAGGCGCAATTTAAGAAAAAGAAAGACATCTTCGATTGTTCTGAAACGTATAGTGATAGTTATCCATCATAGTCTTGTGTTTATTCATCAAAAAAAAATTAAGTTGCATAATTTTGTTTCTTTCAAAGTTATAGCGCTGCAAGTGTACTTTCCACGCCGGCATTTTTGCCCAATGCCGCAAACCAGATTATCCTCTGATTCCGTGTATTTTATGACTACATATGCAGAACGTTTCACAAAAGGCGGACAAATTCTATGTTACGAAAACTACGCATCGCATCAAAAAAAGGCTTGTGTCGTTTGGTCCTAGGCCAGGGGCCCATTTAGGAAAATTGTTAAGGTTCGAGATGTTGGCAATTATTTTCGCGTAATTAATTTTTTTTTTTAATATGTAGTTTAAGGGCATGGTTTCATTTGGAAACTTCCTGTGCATCATCGAAAAACACTAAATAAAAAAAAAATTGGAGTGCGATAGAAGGCACGTGCTGAATTTTACAGCTTTCTGAAAAACCATTCAACTTAGACGGGTTTTTAAAATTCGGTTTGCAATCGCAGCGCTTCTCGGTACAAACGGCACCGCGCCCCGTGCGTTGCGCCAAGACAGCGAAGCAGATGTTGGTTGCACTCTTTCTCCACGGGGCGCGGTACCGTCGATGCCGAGAAGCGCTCCGATTGTAAACCGAAACTTAAAAACCCGTCGAAGTTGTGCTGTTTTTCAGAAAGCTGTAAAATGCAGCGCGTGCCTTCAATCGCACTCCAATTTTTTTGTTTACAGCGGACTTGTTAAGGGTTAGTTTCCCAGTATCGTGCCCGTGAGCAAACAAATCTCGACACAAAACTCTGGAGAGCTACCGCCATCTATTAGCGATGGCGGCAACCAGAACCCGGCTTGCCGGGGTCTGTTTGCCGCCGTCGCTCATAGATGGCGGTAACCTTTCCAGCCGACTTGCGGCAGGCCATTGCTTCATTCCCACCATAGTACAGCTTCGCTGGCCTTCCTTCTTCACCAGAGCGGAAAGAGTGCATTTTTTTTTGTATTTAAGTGTTTTTCGATGATGCTCAGGAAGTTTCCAAATAAAACCATGCCTTTAAACTCAATATTTAAAAATTAATGACGCGAAAATAATTAGCAATTTAATTATCACAGTCTAATAATTTTCCTAAGTAGGCCCCTGACCTAGGACCAAAACAACACAAGCTTTTTTTTGGTGCGATGCGCAGTTTTCGCAATATCGAATTTGTCCACCTTTCGTGAAACACCCTGTATTTTTGTCCTGCATTTGGCTCAAGTTTAAGTATTCTAATAATAAAGCAATACCCATGTTCTTTCCCCTTATCATTAATTTAACCAATAAGCCTGTTTTGCCCTTTAAAATTCCAAGTTCTAAGATCTTTAGCTGAACCTTTTCCACGAAAACGGGACGAAAATAATTGTAATTGCTACTACAGCATTTTCTTTTTACAGAAAGTAGTAGAAAAGTAAGTAGAGCGGTGCAAATTATATGCGTGGTGCAAATCATCAGCCCAAACTTGTAGAATTGCTATTCATGACGGTTGTACGTCCGGCTGACCAAGGTAAACCTGCAACTTCATTCGCAGACTTTCACTGAGACGTCCGTTAAGATTAAAAAGTATTTGTAAATATTTATTCTAATATAAAAATACTTGAAAAAAAATTGGAGTCATTTCACTCTGTGACGGTGGTTGGCCAGCGAAGGTCCAGCGAAGGCCCAGCGAACCACCACAAATGATTCACCAAGAGACACAAAAAAGGCCTTCACCAAATGTTTATTTACAGTATATAAACATCATCTTGAAACGGTAGTGATGATTGCTTTGTGATCACTATGATATACACTAATGGGTTCCATTACAATTTAGGTGAGATTCTTTGCTAAAGTTAAATCTACCATCACTGATGGCGCTCGTTATAGGCACGTCGCTCTTCGGGAGTTCTAACTATGCTTGGCCCTCCCATAGCAACTGCAGAGCACAACGAAATGACCTGCTCTGCAGCTGCTGCTTTTATACATGTAAAGCAATGACCTCACCCGACTCGAGCGGGAGAAGTCCCTTTGTTCTCGGATGTATCTCCATTATCGCACGTTTCGACGTCTTTCCTTATCAAAGTGCATATCGTGGTGACGAGGCTTTATGCATTTCAATACAATGAAGCGCTTTTAGATGCAATTTCTGACTTTCATTTTTGCACACGGATACCAAAAATGCATGACACCCTAGCCATATACAGCTTCGCTGTAAAGCGAGTAGAGACATCGAGCGCACTAGTTGCCCGCGTTAGCGGGAGGGTGTCTTGAGAAGTCCGTCTCTTGTCCCTCTTCTTATCAGAGTGACGAATTCCGCGAGGCACTCACCTGTACTGCATTAATTCTTTCGAGTGCAAGAAAATCGGTCAACTCCGAATGGGGTTACAAATTGGGACTGCACGAACAGGAGGCTTTTGCCCGATCCTCTTCGGAGAATTGACTTACACACTGCGAAAATGCATCTGCTTTGCTATCTTTCTTTTGTGTGTGTGTGTGTGTGTGTTTACTAAGATAGTCAGCATAGAATTCACTACAGACGCTCTGTCAAGACGCAACTGTACGGGACTGGCAACCAGTCGTTTGCTTATGACCGCAGCGCGCGTGTTGTCTTGTCTCACAATCAGAAGACTCCGCGACCTCCCGAAAGCAGGACAGGAGAGATAAAAAAAAGGGTAGATCATGCGTAACTAACTTTTTTATCAAGCAACGTACGAAGTAAGTCTAAGCCTGTCACAATCAGTTCCCCCGAAGAGAAAAGTGCACAAGCAGAAAACAAGCGGTAATTGCGTGTGCTCTGCGGTCCATGCCGTCTCTGATTTGCTAAAGCCTCTCATTAGGTTCACGAGGGGGGCCACCGCCGTCTTGTGGGTTTTGCATTTTGCCTGAGCCACCACCTTTCTGATTTTGCGCTGATTAGGTCAGTGCCGCCCGCTAGTATTGCACGCGTCGCTTTTAGGGATCGTGGCATTTTGCTTTTGACGCCTTCGTTGGCTCTTGGAACAACAGTATATAGACTGATATAGACCGACACGCGGCTTGACGTCACGGAGCTGTGGCGGCGCTGCGATCGCGCCGGAGCCGGGTGGTGTGGGCAAAAGGGCACACGTTTTGCATGGGCGTCATAGCATTTCAGCATGCCGCGAAGCTGTGTTGCCCATAATTGCTCCGAAAAATACAAAAAAGTAGCGGTGTGAGTTTTCACAAGTTCCAGGCAGACTGTGAAAGCCACAGAAGGTGGATAATATCCGTGGATCGAAAAAAATGGTCGCCTCGCGCGAACGACCGTTTGTGCGGCAAGCACTTTCTTGAAGGC